ATTGCATCATCCTAGAAAACTTGGAGGCCAGTGAGGACAAAAATAAAAAGTTATAAGACTTTTAAAAATGTGGATTTTAGGGTTATCTTTGGCGCCCCCTAGAACCTAAACCGTGGGGTGCATCGTCATGATTTTGATAACTTTTAATGGCCATGGGGTGTAGATTGGCCTGAGCAAATGTGGTGCCGGTGGAACGAAAGCCTTCGGAGGAGTTAGCGAAATTCCAATGTGTGCGGATCGGCAAAAAATGTGAAATAACCCTTTAACCGTACATTTGACAGATACGCCCGCACTGACTTTTTTGTAGATCTTATTGAGATACATGTGTGTGTCAATTTTTGTGTCATTTTGACAAAGCGTACAGGCGTGACAGTCAATAGTGTGAATTTTCACCTTAGGGGGCGCTATGGAGCCATTTTGCATTTTCTTGTTTGGGCGACTTCGGAATATCAAATTTTTCACCAGGCCCGGTCGTCCTGCCAAATTTCCTGAGTTTTCGCCAGTGGGAAGTGGGCCATTTTCCAGTTCAAAGGGGAGGAAAAAGAAGAAAGAAAGAAACAAAGAAAAACCCCTACAGGAATAACAGGGCCTACGCCCGGCTGCTCTGCAGCTGGCTCGGGCCCTAATAACACTAGGGCCCCGTTGGGGCACTGGCGGGCCCGAGCCGTGTCGCGCCGCCCCCTCCCCCAACGCGCTGCCTCCCCGTCCCATTCGTGTCCTCTGGCCATCGCCCTCTCTGGTAACGCCCATCACTGCAAAGACCCTTTTCCTTCATCGGCGTTTGCTGTTCTTCCTGCCAGTGCGTGTTGCTTTCACTTACACTTGCCACAGCCAGCCTCGTGAGTGCCTAGCCTATTGGATATCACTGTCATCTACACAGGACAGTCATTACCTTTCTATTAATACTTTGTTTTTTAATTTCACATTAATTTCCATATTGTATAAATGACTGGAAAAAACTTGAGCCCCTGCCCCTGTATAATCATGTGCACGTCCCTGTTCTAGCTCCAAGGTGAATCTTCACTGCTCATGTTCTCCTCAGAAGCAGTCACCTCACTCCCCTCAGGTTACTGTACACATGCACCAACTGCCTGCTTCAGGTTTGGATGGAGCTTCATGGTTGTCTTTTGGAGAAATGAGCAGTCAAGTTGTGTTTGAAATTAGATTTTTTTCAGGGGCAAAAGGAGCCTCTGCATTCTTGTCAAATATGTAAATAGCATGTTTTTGCAGGTGCTAAAAAACAGACTCTGAGTGTGTGTGTGTGTGTGTGTGTGTGTGTGTCTGTGTGTGTGTATATATCTTGCAGTACTCTGAGAAGAATAATAAGCATATTTCTGCGGTGAATTTTGAAGATTCATCTGAGAGTTAGGAGGGCTGATCATTCCCTTACCCTTTAGATGTCTGTCTATGTCTGTTTTAGTGTGATAATGAAAGAATCCCAACTCAAAAAGGCTCTGTTGATGTTTTTTTTTGTTGTTCATTCATATTCAAACCACTATTTTATATCACTGCTAATACGCCAAGACCATTTTATGGTATTTAGCTTTATTATTTCTATACATTTTGCAAGGAAAGAAACCAAGGCCTTCACTAAAATTTCCATAAACTTTAGGAAAGGACCTCTGGTTGTTTAAGGGGGTCATTACTGCAAAAACATATTCTTCCTAAATTTTGAAGGTCAAACCTTAGATCCATTAGGTTTAAATAGAAAAAGCATTAAAATATGTTAGGATTATAGCATATGACAAATGTGTGCCTCTCAGTGGCATAACTACTTTGTCTGCTGGCTCTGCAGTCGATTGACGCTCCCCAGCGTTCAAGTCACATGACATATTTAACCGGATGTAGCTGCAAGACGGAGCCTCGTTCACCCTCCGTTTCAACTTATCTCAAAAGTGAGGACCTCAAACTATATACCAGTTTTTTAAATTGTGTTGATAGGCCAAATAAAACCAGAGTTATGATAAATTATGTCCGCGATACTTTTTTTCTGCTTATTTTGATCACGTTCGGCGCTCGATCACACTGTATGAGACAGGAAAACATAGCATGCAGACATTAGCGACAGCTCTTACAGGCGGAAAAGGCATGCCAAAAGAAAAAAAAAACACACCACAACATCTCTCCTATTGGTGGAAAACTTCACCACAACAACCAATCCAAAATTATATGGTGACTGATTGACAAGGGGCGGGCGCTTACGTTCTTCCTGCAATATGAGAAGGGAGGGAGGAACTCTCAGCAGGGATGCAGTCTGGGAAACGTAGTTGCAAACCTAGCGACTTTGTTGTTAGATTCAATGACTTTTCAGACCCCCTAACGACTTTTTTTTAGAAAGAAAGGGAATTTTATCGACTTCCTCTGGAGTTTAGAGACTCTGACATGAAGCAGGCTTTCCTTACTGAGGAGTTAGCAACGCTGCTAAGGGTGCAGAGCCACACATGCGCTCCGAGCTCTGCATGGGAGACTAGAGCTGAGAGAGCTGCAGCAGTTAGCAGGTTTCACCCTCAGAGACCACCAGGAGTTCATGTTGAGGCATTTTCAGTTTTTTTTTTTTTTTGCCATAGACACTGTCAGCACAATCTGCAGTTACACTAACAAAAATGCTGCAAAAAACAAAGAATTATGGAAAAATTACACATGGACTGACATAGAGGAGGATCTACATAAGTTTTTTACATCATGTTTTACATCATGCATCATTTACATCATGTTTTTTTGTAGTGGCATAAATAAAAAGTGACATTTGTGAGACTATACAGTGTTTTGTAAATAATTTTACAAAGAACGCCTGGGCCATTGCCTGCATTTTGATGTAAATAGAGGTAAATTACTATGTTCTTTGTTAAAAATTTGCATATGTTTTGAAGTTTACAATTTTTATTTGAAGTTTAAGTTTTAAAAACAGTTCATCACACATATTTGTGGTTTAATTTCACATTAATTTCCATATTGTATAAATGACTGGAAAAAACTTGAGCCCCTGCCCCTGTATAATCATGTGCACGTCCCTGTTCTAGCTCCAAGGTGAATCTTCACTGCTCATGTTCTCCTCAGAAGTAGTCACCTCACTCTCCTCAGGTTACTGTACACATGCACCAACTATCTGCTTCAGGTTTGGATGGAGCTTCATGGTTGTCTTTTGGAGAAATGACCAGTCAAGTTGTGTTTGAAATTTGATTTTTTTCAGGGGCAAAAGGAAGCCTCTGCATTCTTGTCAAATATGTAAACAGCATGTTTTTGCAGGTGCTAAAAAACAGACTCTGAGTGTGTGTGTGTGTGTGTGTGTGTGTGGGTGTGTGTGTGTGTGTGTGTGTGTGTGTGTGTGTGTGTTGGCGTGTGTGTATATGTGTGTGTGTCCGGCAGTACTCTGTACTCCTGCAGTGGCCAAAAAGACTTTTAAGAATGTGGATTTTTGGGTCATCTTTGGCGCCCCCTAGAACTGCAGTACTCTGTACTCCTGCAGTGGCCAAAATGACTTTTAAGAATGTGGATTTTTGGGTCATCTTTGGCGCCCCCTAGAACGTAAACCGTGGGGTGCAGCGTCATGATTTTTACAACTTTGAATGGCCATGGGGTGTGGATTGCCCTGAGCAAATTTGGTATCGGTGGGACGAAAGCCTTAGGAGGAGTTAGCCACATTCCAATGTGTGCGAATCGGCAAAAAATGCGAAATAGCCCTTTAACCATACATTTGACAGATACGTGCCTATTGACTTTTTTGTAGATCTTATTGAGATACACGTGATTGTCAAATTGTGTGTCAATATGACAAAGTGTATAGGCGTGACACTCAACAATGTGTATTTTTACCTTAGGAGACAAGAAAAAATGGACTTTTTTCTCCTGCCATGGGGGGCGCTCTTTTGGGGAGTAAAAATTCCTTCACAAATGTGTTGATGGCTGGACATTGCATCATCCTAGAAAACTTGGAGGCCAGTGAGGACAAAAATAAAAAGTTATAAGACTTTTAAGAATGTGGATTTTTGGGTTATCTTTGGCGCCCCCTAGAAAGTAAACCGTGGGGTGCAGCATCATGATTTGTACAACTTTTAATGGCCATGGGGTGTAGATTGGCCTGAGCAAACTTGGTGCCGGTGGAACGAAAGCCTTCGGAGGAGTTAGCGAAATTCCAATGTGTGCGGATCGGCAAAAAAAGCGAAATAGCCCTTTAACCGTACATTTGGCAGATACGCCCGCACTGACTTTTTCGTAGATCTTATTGAGATACACATGTGTGTCAAATTTTGTGTCATTTTGACAAAGCGTACAGGCATCAGGTGAGTTTTCACCATAGGGGGCGCTATGGAGCCATTTTTCATTTTTTTGTTTGGACGACTTCAGAATATCAAATTTTTCACCAGGCCCGGTCGTCCTGCCAAATTTCCTGAGTTTTCGCCAGTGGGAAGTGGGCCATTTTCCAGTTTAAAGCGGAGGAAAAATAACGAAAGAAGGAAACATGCAGGAACAAGAGGGCTCTCGCAGCTGCTTAGCAGCTACGCTCGGGCCCTAAAAAGAAGGAAACATGCAGGAACAAGAGGGCTCTCGCAGCTGCTTAGCAGCTACGCTCGGGCCCTAAAGAAGAATCCATCAGGAATAATAGGGCTCTCGCAGCTGCTTAGCAGCTACGCTCGGGCCCTAACTAGGACCCCGTTGGGGCACTGGCGGGCCCGAGCCTGTTTTTAAATTGTGTTGATAGGCCAAATAAAACCAGAGTTATGATAAATTATGTCCGCGATACTTTTTTTCTGCTTATTTTGATCACGTTCGGCGCTCGATCGCGCTGTATGAGACAGGAAAACATAGCATGCAGACATTAGTGACAGGTCTTACAGGCGGAAAAGGCTTGCCAAAAGAAAAAAAAAACACACCACAACATCTCTCCTATTGGTGGAAAACTTCACCACAACAACCAATCCAAAATTATATGGTGACTGATTGACAAGGGGCGGGCGCTTACGTTCTTCCTGCAACATGAGAAGGGAGGGAGGGACTCTCAGCAGGGATGCAGTCTGGGACACGTAGTTGCAAACCTAGCGACTTTGTTGTTAGATTCAATGACTTTTCAGACCCCCTAACGACTTTTTTTTAGAAAGAAAGGGACTTTTATCGACTTCTTCTGGAGTTTAGAGACTCTGACATGAAGCAGGCTTTCCTTACTGAGGAGTTAGCAACGCTGCTAAGGGTGCAGAGCCACACATGCGCTCAGAGCTCTGCATGGGAGACTGAAGCTGACTGAGCTGCAGCAGTTAGCAGGTTTCACCCTCAGAGACCACCAGGGGTTCATGTTGAGGCATTTTAAATTTTTTTTTTTTTTTGTGCCATAGACACTGTCAGCACAATCTGCAGTTACACTAACAAAAATGCTGCAAAAAACAAAGAATTATGGAAAAATTACACATGGACTGACATAGAGGAGGATCTACACAAGTTTTTTACATCATGTTTTACATCATGCATCATTTACATCATGTTTTTTTGTAGTGGCATAAATAAAAAGTGACATTTGTGAGACTATACAGTGTTTTGTAAATAATTTTACAAAGAACGCCTGGGCCATTGCCTGCATTTTGATGTAAATAGAGGTAAATTACTATGTTCTTTGTTAAAAATTTGCATATGTTTTGAAGTTTACAATTTTTATTTGAAGTTTAAGTTTTAAAAACAGTTCATCACACATATTTGTGGTTTAATTTCACATTAATTTCCATATTGTATAAATGACTGGAAAAAACTTGAGCCCCTGCCCCTGTATAATCATGTGCACGTCCCTGTTCTAGCTCCAAGGTGAATCTTACTGCTCATGTTCTCCTCAGAAATAGTCACCTCACTCCCCTCAGGTTACTGTACACATGCACCAACTATCTGCTTCAGGTTTGAAATGGAGCTTCATGGTTGTCTTTTGGAGAAATGAACAGTCAAGTTGTGTTTGAAATTTGATTTTTTTCAGGGGCAAAAGGAAGCCTCTGCATTCTTGTCAAATATGTAAACAGCATGTTTTTGAAGGTGCTAAAAACCAGACTCTGAGTGTGTGTGTGTGTGTCTGTGTGTGTGTGTGTGTGTGTGTATGTTGGCGTGTGTGTATATGTGTGTGTATCCTGCAGTACTCTGTACTCCTGCAGTGGCCAAAAAGACTTTTAAGAATGTGGATTTTTGGGTCATCTTTGGCGCCCCCTAGAACTGCAGTACTCTGTACTCCTGCAGTGGCCAAAATGACTTTTAAGAATGTGGATTTTTGGGTCATCTTTGGCGCCCCCTAGAACGTAAACCGTGGGGTGCAGCGTCATGATTTTTACAACTTTGAATGGGCATGGGGTGTAGATTGCCCTGAGCAAATTTGGTATCGGTGGGACGAAAGCCTTAGGAGGAGATAGCCACATTCCAATGTGTGCGAATCGGCAAAAAATGCAAAATAGCCCTTTAACCGTACATTATACAGATACGCGCTCTTTGACTTTTTCGTAGATCTAATTGAGATACACATGATTGTCAATTTTTTTGTCAATATGACAAAGCGTAAAGGCGTGACACTCAACAACGTGTATTTTCACCTTTCGGGATAAGAAAAAATGGACTTTTTTCTCCTGCCATGGGGGGGCACTCTTTTGGGGAGTAAAAATTTCTTCACAAATGTGTTGATGGCTGGACATTGCATCATCCTAAAAAACTTGGAGGCCAGTATGGAAAAAAATAAAAAGTTATAAGACTTTTAAGAATGTGGATTTTTGGGTTATATTTGGTGCCCCCTAGAACCCAAAACGTGGGGTGCAGCAAGATGATTTGTACAACTTTTAATGGCCATGGGGTGTAGATTGGCCTGAGCAAATTTGGTGCCGGTGGAAAGATAGCCTTCGGAGGAGTTAGTGAAATTCCAATGTGTGCGGATCGGCAAAAAATGCAAAATAGCCCTTTAACCGTACATTTGACAGATACATGCCCTTTGACTTTTTCGTAGATCTTATTGAGATACATGTGATTGTCAAATTTTGTGTCAATATGACAAAGCATACAAACGTGACACTCGACAATGTGTATTTTGACCTTTGGAGACAAGAAAAAATGGACCTTTTTCTCCTGCCATTGGGGGGCGCTCTTTTGGGGAGTAAAAATTCCTTCAAAATTGTGTTGATGGCTGGACATTGCATCATCCTAGAAAACTTGGAGGCCAGTGAGGACAAAAGTAAAAAGTTATAAGACTTTTAAGAATGTGGATTTTTGGGTTATCTTTGGCGCCCCCTAGAACGTAAACCGTGGGGTGCAGCGTCATGATTTGTACAACTTTTAATGGCCATGGGGTGTAGATTGGCCTGCGCAAATGTGGTGCCGGTCGAACGAAAGCCTTCGGAGGAGTTAGCGAAATTCCAATGTGTGCAGATCTGCAAAAAATGAAAAATAACCCTTTAACCGTACATTTGACAGATACGGCCGCACTGACTTTTTTGTAGATCTTATTGAGATACACGTGTGTGTCAATTTTTCTGTCAATATGACAAAGCGTACAGCCGTCATGTGAATTTTCACCTTAGGGGGCGCTATGGAGCCATTTTGCATTTTATTGTTTGGGCGACTTCAGAATATCGAATTTTTCACCAGGCCCGGTCGTCCTGCCAAATTTCCTGAGTTTTCGCCAGTGGGAAGTGGGCCATTTTCCAGTTTAAAGCGGAGGAAAAATAACTAGGGCCCCGTTGGGGCACTGGCGGGCCCGAGCCGCGTTGCGCCGCCCCCAGTGCGACCGCCTCCCCCTCCCGATCGCGTCACACTCAAGGTCCAAAGATGGTGTGCGCACTTGTCTGTGGTCATTTCCCATTATAATGAATGGGAGGCGCAGTTTCTACCAAAACACTCGCTGCAGACAAACTACATGTCCTATTTGAAAAAAGTCTGGACCATGAGTGAGGGCACAAACACAGCTAGGATATATCCAAACGGCAAGTTGCTCCTCGTTACGGTGTTGCCGGGAGAGCGATGCGATTGAGCCATTGAGTGATGGGCAGGAAAAACTTGACTTTATTCTCCTGCCATGGGGGATGGGGGATGGGGGGTGGGGGGGGGGGGGTGGATTCTTTTAAGAATGTGGATATTTGGGTCATCTTTGGCGCCCCCTAGAACGTAAACCGTGGGGTGCAGCATCATGATTTTTAAAACTTTGAATGGCCATGGGGTGTAGATTGGCCTGAGCAAATTTGGTGTCAGTGGGACGAAAGCCTTAGGAGGAGTTAGCCACATTCCAATGTGTGCTAATCGGCAAAAAATGCAAAATAGCCCTTTAACCGTACATTTTACAGATACGCGCACATTGACTTTTTCGTAGATCTTATTGAGATACATGTGTGTGTCAAATTTTGTGTCAATATGACAAAGCATACAGGTATGACAGTCAACAATGTGTATTTTCACCTTATGGGACAAGAAAAAATGGACTTTTTTCTCCTGCCATGGGGGGGCGCTCTTTTGGCGAGTAAAAATTCCTTCACAAATGTGTTGATGGCTGGACATTGCATCATCCTAGAAAACTTGGAGGCCAGAGAGGACAAAAATAAAAAGTTATAAGACTTTTAAATATGTGGATTTTAGGGTTATCTTTGGCGCCCCCTAGAACCTAAACCGTGGGGTGCAGCGTCATGATTTGAATAACTTTTAATGGCCATGGGGTGTAGATTGGCCTGAGCAAATGTGGTGCCGGTGGAACGAAAGCCTTCGGAGGAGTTAGCGAAATTCCAATGTGTGCGGATCGGCAAAAAATGCGCAATAACCCTTTAACCGTACATTTGACAGATACGCTAGCACTGACTTTTTTGTAGATCTTATTGAGATACATGTGTGTGTCAATTTTTGTGTAATTTTGACAAAGCGTACAGGCGTGACAGTCAATAGTGTGAATTTTCACCTTATGGGACAAGAAAAAATGGACTTTTTTCTCCTGCCATGGGGGGGCGCTCTTTTGGGGAGTAAAAATTCCTTCACAAATGTGTTGATGGCTGGACATTGCATCATCCTAGAAAACTTGGAGGCCAGTGAGGGCAAAAATAAAAAGTTATAAGACTTTGAAATTTGTGGATTTTAGGGTTATCTTTGGCGCCCCCTAGAACCTAAACCGTGGGGTGCAGCGTCATGATTTGAATAACTTTTAATGGCCATGGGGTGTAGATTGGCCTGAGCAAATGTGGTGCCGGTGGAACGAAAGCCTTCGGAGGAGTTAGCGAAATTCCAATGTGTGCGGATCGGCAAAAAATGCGCAATAACCCTTTAACCGTACATTTGACAGATACGCCTGCACTGACTTTTTTGTAGATCTTATTGAGATACATGTGTGTGTCAATTTTTGTGTCAATATGACAAAGCGTACAGGCGTGACAGTCAATAGTGTGAATTTCCACCTTAGGGGGCGCTATGGAGCCATTTTGCATTTTATTGTTTGGGCGACTTCAGAATATCGAATTTTTCACCAGGCCCGGTCGTCCTGCCAAATTTCCTGAGTTTTCGCCAGTGGGAAGTGGGCCATTTTCCAGTTCAAAGGGGAGGAAAAAGAAGAAAGAAAGAAAGAAAGAAACAAAGAAAAACCCCTTGGGGAATAATAGGGCTCTCGCAGCTGCTTAGCAGCTACGCTCGGGCCCTAATAACGAAAGAAGGAAACATGCAGGAACAAGAGGGCTCTCGCAGCTGCTTAGCAGCTACGCTCGGGCCCTAAAGAAAGAAACAAAGAAAAACCACTTGGGGAATAATAGGGCTCTACGCCCGGCTGCTCTGCAGCTGGCTCGGGCCCTAAAGAAAGAAACAAAGAAAAACCACTTGGGGAATAATAGGGCCTACGCCCGGCTGCTCTGCAGCTGGCTCGGGCCCTAAAAAGAAACAAAGAAAAACCACTACAGGAATAACAGGGCCTACGCCCGGCTGCTCTGCAGCTGGCTCGGGCCCTAATAATAACACTAGGACCCCGGTGGGGCACTGTCGGGCCCGAGCCGCGTTGCGCCGCCCCCAGCGCGACCGCCTCCCCCTCCCGATCGCGTCACACTCAAGGTCCAAAGATGGTGTGCGCACTTGTCTGTGGTCATTTCCCATTATAATGAATGGGAGGCGCAGTTTCTACCAAAACACTCGCTGCAGACAAACTACATGTCCTATTTGAAAAAAGTCTGGACCATGAGTGAGGGCACAAACACAGCTAGGATATATCCAAACGGCAAGTTGCTCCTCGTTACGGTGTTGCCGGGAGAGTGATGCGATTGAGCCATTGAGTGATGGGAAGGAAAAACTTGACTGTTTCTCCTGCCATGGGGGATGGGGGATGGGGGTGTGGATTCTTTTAAGAATGTGGATATTTGGGTCATCTTTGGCGCCCCCTAGAACGTAAACCGTGGGGTGCAGCGTCATGATTTTTACAACTTTGAATGGCCATGGGGTGTAGATTGGCCTGAGCAAATTTGGTGTCAGTGGGACGAAAGCCTTAGGAGGAGTTAGCCAAATTCCAATGTGTGCGGATCTGCAAAAAATGTGAAATAACCCTTTAACTGTACATTTTACATATACGTGGCTATTGACTTTTTCGAAGATCTTATTGAAATACACGTGTATGTCAAATTTTGTGTCATTTTGACAAAGCGTACAGGCGTGACACTCTACAATGTGTATTTTCACCTTAGGGGACAAGAAAAAATGGACTTTTTTCTCCTGCCATGGGGGGCGCTCTTTTGGGGAGTAAAAATTCCTTCACAAATGTGTTGATGGCTGGACATTGCATCATCCTAGAAAACTTGGAGGCCAGTGAGGGCAAAAATAAAAAGTTATAAGACTTTTAAATATGTGGATTTTAGGGTTATCTTTGGCGCCCCCTAGAACGTAAACCGTGGGGTGCAGCGTCATGATTTGAATAACTTTTAATGGCCATGGGGTGTAGATTGGCCTGAGCAAATGTGGTGCCGGTGGAACTAAAGCCTTCGGAGGAGTTAGCCACATTCCAATGTGTGCGGATCGGCAAAAAATGCGGAATAACCCTTTAACCGTACATTTGACAGATACGCGCGCATTGACTTTTTCGTAGATCTTATTGAGTTACATGTGTGTGTCAATTTTTGTGTCATTTTGACAAAGCGTATAGGCGTGACACTCAACAATGTGTATTTTCACCTTAGGGGACAAGAAAAAATTGACTTTTTTCTCCTGCCATGGGGGGGCGCTCTTTTGGGGAGTAAAAATTCCTTCACAAATGTGTTGATGGCTGGACATTGCATCATCCTAGAAAACTTGGAGGCCAGTGAGGACAAAAATAAAAAGTTATAAGACTTTTAAATATGTGGATTTTAGTGTTATCTTTGGCGCCCCCTAGAACCTAAACCTTGGGGTGCAGCGTCATGATTTTGTTAACTTTTAATGGCCATGGGGTGTAGATTGGCCTGGGCAAATGTGGTGCCGGTGGTACGAAAGCCTTCGGAGGAGTTAGCGAAATTCCAATGTGTGCGGATCGGCAAAAAATGCGAAATAACCCTTTAACCGTAATTTTGACAGATACAGCCGCACTGACTTTTTTGTAGATCTTATTGAGATACATATGTGTGTCAATTTTTGTGTCAATATGACAAAGCGTACAGGCGTGACAGTCAATAGTGTGAATTTCCACCTTAGGGGGCGCTATGGAGCCATTTTGCATTTTATTGTTTGGGCGACTTCAGAATATCGAATTTTTCACCAGGCCCGGTCGTCCTGCCAAATTTCATGAGTTTTCGCCAGTGGGAAGTGGGCCATTTTCCAGTTCAAAGGGGAGGAAAAAGAAGAAAGAAAGAAAGAAACTAGGACCCCGTTGGGGCACTGGCGGGCCCGAGCCGTGTCACGTCTCCCCCCCCCCCCCCCTTTGAGCCCCTGCTACTGTATAATCATGTGCATGTCTCTGTTCTAGCTCCAAGGTGAATCTTCACTGCTCATGTTCTCCTCAGAAGCAGTCACCTCACTCCCCTCAGGTTACTGTACACATGCACCAACTGCCTGCTTCAGGTTTGGATGGAGCTTCATGGTTGTCTTTTGGAGAAATGACCAGTCAAGTTGTGTTTGAAATTTGATTTTTTTCAGGGGCAAAAGGAGCCTCTGCATTCTTGTCAAATATGTAAATAGCATGTTTTTGCAGGTGCTAAAAACCAGACTCTAAGTGTGTGTGTGTGTGTGTGTGTGTGTGTGCGCGTGCGTGTGTGTGTGTCTATGTGTGCGTTCAAGTCACATGACATATTTAACCGGATGTAGCTGCAAGACGGAGCCTCGTTGACTCTCCGTTTCAACTTATCTCAAAAGTGAGGACCTCAACCTATATACCAGTTTTTAAATTGTGTTGATAGGCCAAATAAAACCAGAGTTATGATAAATTATGTCCGCGATACTTTTTTTCTGCTTATTTTGATCATGTTCGGCGCTCGATCGCGCTGTATGAGACAGGAAAACATAGCATGCAGACATTAGCGACAGGTCTTACAGGCGGAAAAGGCTTGCCAAAAAAAAAAAAAACACACCACAACATCTCTCCTATTGGTGGAAAACTTCACCACAACAACCAATCCAAAATTATATGGTGACTGATTGACAAGGGGCGGGCGCTTACGTTCTTCCTGCAACATGAGAAGGGAGGGAGGGACTCTCAGCAGGGATGCAGTCTGGGACACGTAGTTGCAAACCTAGCAACTTTGTTGTTAGATTCAATGACTTTTCAGACCCCCTAACGACTTTTTTTTAGAAAGAAAGGGACTTTTATCGACTTCTTCTGGAGTTTAGAGACTCTGACATGAAGCAGGCTTTCCTTACTGAGGAGTTAGCAACGCTGCTAAGGGTGCAGAGCTACACATGCGCTCAGAGCTCTGCATGGGAGACTGAAGCTGACAGAGCTGCAGCAGTTAGCAGGTTTCACCCTCAGAGACCACCAGGGGTTCATGTTGAGGCATTTTAAATTTTTTTTTTTTTTGTGCCATAGACACTGTCAGCACAATCTGCAGTTACACTAACAAAAATGCTGCAAAAAACAAAGAATTATGGAAAAATTACACATGGACTGACATAGAGGAGGATCTACACAAGTTTTTTACATCATGTTTTACATCATGCATCATTTACATCATGTTTTTTTGTAGTGGCATAAATAAAAAGTGACATTTGTGAGACTATACAGTGTTTTGTAAATAATTTTACAAAGAACGCCTGGGCCATTGCCTGCATTTTGATGTAAATAGAGGTAAATTACTATGTTCTTTGTTAAAAATTTGCATATGTTTTGAAGTTTACAATTTTTATTTGAAGTTTAAGTTTTAAAAACAGTTCATCACACATATTTGTGGTTTAATTTCACATTAATTTCCATATTGTATAAATGACTGGAAAAAACTTGAGCCCCTGCCCCTGTATAATCATGTGCACGTCCCTGTTCTAGCTCCAAGGTGAATCTTACTGCTCATGTTCTCCTCAGAAATAGTCACCTCACTCCCCTCAGGTTACTGTACACATGCACCAACTATCTGCTTCAGGTTTGAAATGGAGCTTCATGGTTGTCTTTTGGAGAAATGAACAGTCAAGTTGTGTTTGAAATTTGATTTTTTTCAGGGGCAAAAGGAAGCCTCTGCATTCTTGTCAAATATGTAAACAGCATGTTTTTGAAGGTGCTAAAAACCAGACTCTGAGTGTGTGTGTGTGTGTCTGTGTGTGTGTGTGTGTGTGTGTATGTTGGCGTGTGTGTATATGTGTGTGTATCCTGCAGTACTCTGTACTCCTGCAGTGGCCAAAAAAGACTTTTAAGAATGTGGATTTTTGGGTCATCTTTGGCGCCCCCTAGAACTGCAGTACTCTGTACTCCTGCAGTGGCCAAAATGACTTTTAAGAATGTGGATTTTTGGGTCATCTTTGGCGCCCCCTAGAACGTAAACCGTGGGGTGCAGCGTCATGATTTTTACAACTTTGAATGGGCATGGGGTGTAGATTGCCCTGAGCAAATTTGGTATCGGTGGGACGAAAGCCTTAGGAGGAGATAGCCACATTCCAATGTGTGCGAATCGGCAAAAAATGCAAAATAGCCCTTTAACCGTACATTATACAGATACGCGCTCTTTGACTTTTTCGTAGATCTAATTGAGATACACATGATTGTCAATTTTTTTGTCAATATGACAAAGCGTAAAGGCGTGACACTCAACAACGTGTATTTTCACCTTTCGGGATAAGAAAAAATGGACTTTTTTCTCCTGCCATGGGGGGCGCTCTTTTGGGGAGTAAAAATTTCTTCACAAATGTGTTGATGGCTGGACATTGCATCATCCTAAAAAACTTGGAGGCCAGTATGGAAAAAAATAAAAAGTTATAAGACTTTTAAGAATGTGGATTTTTGGGTTATATTTGGTGCCCCCTAGAACCCAAAACGTGGGGTGCAGCAAGATGATTTGTACAACTTTTAATGGCCATGGGGTGTAGATTGGCCTGAGCAAATTTGGTGCCGGTGGAAAGATAGCCTTCGGAGGAGTTAGTGAAATTCCAATGTGTGCGGATCGGCAAAAAATGCAAAATAGCCCTTTAACCGTACATTTGACAGATACATGCCCTTTGACTTTTTCGTAGATCTTATTGAGATACATGTGATTGTCAAATTTTGTGTCAATATGACAAAGCATACAAACGTGACACTCGACAATGTGTATTTTGACCTTTGGAGACAAGAAAAAATGGACCTTTTTCTCCTGCCATTGGGGGGCGCTCTTTTGGGGAGTAAAAATTCCTTCAAAATTGTGTTGATGGCTGGACATTGCATCATCCTAGAAAACTTGGAGGCCAGTGAGGACAAAAGTAAAAAGTTATAAGACTTTTAAGAATGTGGATTTTTGGGTTATCTTTGGCGCCCCCTAGAACGTAAACCGTGGGGTGCAGCGTCATGATTTGTACAACTTTTAATGGCCATGGGGTGTAGATTGGCCTGCGCAAATGTGGTGCCGGTCGAACGAAAGCCTTCGGAGGAGTTAGCGAAATTCCAATGTGTGCAGATCTGCAAAAAATGAAAAATAACCCTTTAACCGTACATTTGACAGATACGGCCGCACTGACTTTTTTGTAGATCTTATTGAGATACACGTGTGTGTCAATTTTTCTGTCAATATGACAAAGCGTACAGCCGTCATGTGAATTTTCACCTTAGGGGGCGCTATGGAGCCATTTTGCATTTTATTGTTTGGGCGACTTCAGAATATCGAATTTTTCACCAGGCCCGGTCGTCCTGCCAAATTTCCTGAGTTTTCGCCAGTGGGAAGTGGGCCATTTTCCAGTTTAAAGCGGAGGAAAAATAACTAGGGCCCCGTTGGGGCACTGGCGGGCCCGAGCCGTGTCGCGCCGCCCCCAGCGCGACCGCCTACCCCTCCCGATCGCGTCACACTCAAGGTCCAAAGATGGTGTGCGCACTTGTCTGTGGTCATTTACCATTATAATGAATGGGAGGCGCAGTTTCTACCAAAACGCTCGCTGCAGACAAACTCCATGTCCTTTTTGAAAAAAGTCTGGACCATGAGTGAGGGCACAAACACAGCTAGTATATATCCAAATGGCAAGTTGCTCCTCCTTTCGGTTTTGCCGAGAGAGCGATGCGTTTGAGCCATTGAGCGATGGGCAGGAAAAACTTGACTTTTTCTCCTGCCATGGGGGGCGCTCTTTTGGGGAGTAAAAATTCCTTCACAAATGTGTTGATGGCTGGACATTGCATCATCCTAGAAAACTTGGAGGCCAGTGAGGACAAAAATAAAAAGTTATAAGACTTTTAAAAATGTGGATATTTGGGTCCTCTTTGGCGCCCCCTAGAACGTAAACTGTGGGGTGCAGCGTCATGATTTGTACAACTTTGAATGGCCATGGGGTGTAGATTGACCTGAGCAAATTTGAAGCCGATGGGACAAAAGATTTAGGAGGAGTTAGCCACATTCCAATGTGTGCGAATCGGCAAAAAATGCGAAATAGCCCTTTAATCGTACATTGAACAGATACGCTCGCATTGACTTTTTCGTAGATCTTATTGAGATACATGTGTGTGTCAATTTTTGTGTCAATATGACAAAGCGTAAAGGCGTGACAGTCAATAGTGTGAATTTTCGCCTTAGGAGACAAGAAAAAATGGACTTTTTTCTCCTGCCATGGGGGGCGCTCTTTTGGCGAGTAAAAATTCCTTCACAAATGTGTTGATGGCTGGACATTGCATCATCCTAGAGAACTTGGAGGCCAGTGAGGACAAAAATAAAAAGTTATAAGACTTTTAAGACTGTGGATTTTTGGGTTATCTTTGGCGCCCCCTAGAACGTAAACCGTGGGGTGCAGCGTCATGATTTGTACAACTTTTAATGGCCATGGGGTGTAGATTGGCCTGAGCAAATGTGGTGCCGGTGGAACGAAAGCCTTCGGAGGAGTTAGCGAAATTCCAATGTGTGCGGATCGGCAAAAAATGCAAAATAACCCTTTAACCGTACATTTGACAGATACGCCCGCACTGACTTTTTTGTAGATCTTATTGAGATACATGTGTGTGTCAATTTTTGTGTCAATATTACAAAGCGTAAAGGCGTGACAGTCAATAGTGTGAATTTTCACCTTAGGGGGCGCTATGGAGCCATTTTGCATTTTATTGTTTGGGCGACTTCAGAATATCGAATTTTTCACCAGGCCCATTCGTCCTGCCAAATTTCATGAGTTTTCGCCAGTGGGAAGTGGGCCATTTTCCCCTTCAAAGGGGAGGAAAAATAAGAAGAAAGAAAGAAAGAAAGAAGAAAGAAAAACCTATACAGGAATAATAGGGCTCTACGCCCGGCTGCTCTGCAGCTGGCTCGGGCCCTAATAACGAAAGAAGGAAACATGCAGGAACAAGAGGGCTCTCGCAGCTGCTTAGCAGCTACGCTCGGGCCCTAAAGAAAGAAACAAAGAAAAACCACTTGGGGAATAATAGGGCTCCACGCCCGGCTGCTCTGCAGCTGGCTCGGGCCCTAAAGAAAGAAACAAAGAAAAACCACTTGGGGAATAATAGGGCCTACGCCCGGCTGCTCTGCAGCTGGCTCGGGCCCTAAAAAGAAACAAAGAAAAACCACTACAGGAATAACAGGGCCTACGCCCGGCTGCTCTGCAGCTGGCTCGGGCCCTAATAATAACACTAGGACCCCGGTGGGGCACTGTCGGGCCCGAGCCGCGTTGCGCCGCCCCCAGCGCGACCGCCTCCCCCTCCCGATCGCGTCACACTCAAGGTCCAAAGATGGTGTGCGCACTTGTCTGTGGTCATTTCCCATTATAATGAATGGGAGGCGCAGTTTCTACCAAAACACTCGCTGCAGACAAACTACATGTCCTATTTGAAAAAAGTCTGGACCATGAGTGAGGGCACAAACACAGCTAGGATATATCCAAACGGCAAGTTGCTCCTCGTTACGGTGTTGCCGGGAGAGTGATGCGATTGAGCCATTGAGTGATGGGAAGGAAAAACTTGACTGTTTCTCCTGCCATGGGGGATGGGGGATGGGGGGGGGGTGTGGATTCTTTTAAGAATGTGGATATTTGGGTCATCTTTGGCGCCCCCTAGAACGTAAACCGTGGGGTGCAGCGTCATGATTTTTACAACTTTGAATGGCCATGGGGTGTAGATTGGCCTGAGCAAATTTGGTGTCAGTGGGACGAAAGCCTTAGGAGGAGTTAGCCAAATTCCAATGTGTGCGGATCTGCAAAAAATGTGAAATAACCCTTTAACTGTACATTTTACATATACGTGGCTATTGACTTTTTCGAAGATCTTATTGAAATACACGTGTATGTCAAATTTTGTGTCATTTTGACAAAGCGTACAGGCGTGACACTCTACAATGTGTATTTTCACCTTAGGGGACAAGAAAAAATGGACTTTTTTCTCCTGCCATGGGGGGGCGCTCTTTTGGGGAGTAAAAATTCCTTCACAAATGTGTTGATGGCTGGACATTGCATCATCCTAGAAAACTTGGAGGCCAGTGAGGGCAAAAATAAAAAGTTATAAGACTTTTAAATATGTGGATTTTAGGGTTATCTTTGGCGCCCCCTAGAACGTAAACCGTGGGGTGCAGCGTCATGATTTGAATAACTTTTAATGGCCATGGGGTGTAGATTGGCCTGAGCAAATGTGGTGCCGGTGGAACTAAAGCCTTCGGAGGAGTTAGCCACATTCCAATGTGTGCGGATCGGCAAAAAATGCGGAATAACCCTTTAACCGTACATTTGACAGATACGCGCGCATTGACTTTTTCGTAGATCTTATTGAGTTACATGTGTGTGTCAATTTTTGTGTCATTTTGACAAAGCGTATAGGCGTGACACTCAACAATGTGTATTTTCACCTTAGGGGACAAGAAAAAATTGACTTTTTTCTCCTGCCATGGGGGGGCGCTCTTTTGGGGAGTAAAAATTCCTTCACAAATGTGTTGATGGCTGGACATTGCATCATCCTAGAAAACTTGGAGGCCAGTGAGGACAAAAATAAAAAGTTATAAGACTTTTAAATATGTGGATTTTAGTGTTATCTTTGGCGCCCCCTAGAACCTAAACCTTGGGGTGCAGCGTCATGATTTTGATAACTTTTAATGGCCATGGGGTGTAGATTGGCCTGAGCAAATGTGGTGCCGGTGGTACGAAAGCCTTCGGAGGAGTTAGCGAAATTCCAATGTGTGCGGATCGGCAAAAAATGCGAAATAACCCTTTAACCGTAATTTTGACAGATACAGCCGCACTGACTTTTTTGTAGATCTTATTGAGATACATATGTGTGTCAATTTTTGTGTCAATATGACAAAGCGTACAGGCGTGACAGTCAATAGTGTGAATTTCCACCTTAGGGGGCGCTATGGAGCCATTTTGCATTTTATTGTTTGGGCGACTTCAGAATATCGAATTTTTCACCAGGCCCGGTCGTCCTGCCAAATTTCATGAGTTTTCGCCAGTGGGAAGTGGGCCATTTTCCAGTTCAAAGGGGAGGAAAAAGAAGAAAGAAAGAAAGAAACTAGGACCCCGTTGGGGCACTGGCGGGCCCGAGCCGTGTCACGTCTCCCCCCCCCCCCCCCCCTTTGAGCCCCTGCTACTGTATAATCATGTGCATGTCTCTGTTCTAGCTCCAAGGTGAATCTTCACTGCTCATGTTCTCCTCAGAAGCAGTCACCTCACTCCCCTCAGGTTACTGTACACATGCACCAACTGCCTGCTTCAGGTTTGGATGGAGCTTCATGGTTGTCTTTTGGAGAAATGACCAGTCAAGTTGTGTTTGAAATTTGATTTTTTTCAGGGGCAAAAGGAGCCTCTGCATTCTTGTCAAATATGTAAATAGCATGTTTTTGCAGGTGCTAAAAACCAGACTCTGAGTGTGTGTGTGTGTGTGTGTGTGTGTGTGCGCGTGCGTGTGTGTGTGTCTATGTGTGCGTTCAAGTCACATGACATATTTAACCGGATGTAGCTGCAAGACGGAGCCTCGTTGACTCTCCGTTTCAACTTATCTCAAAAGTGAGGACCTCAACCTATATACCAGTTTTTAAATTGTGTTGATAGGCCAAATAAAACCAGAGTTATGATAAATTATGTCCGCGATACTTTTTTTCTGCTTATTTTGATCATGTTCGGCGCTCGATCGCGCTGTATGAGACAGGAAAACATAGCATGCAGACATTAGCGACAGGTCTTACAGGCGGAAAAGGCTTGCCAAAAGAAAAAAAAAACACACCACAACATCTCTCCTATTGGTGGAAAACTTCACCACAACAACCAATCCAAAATTATATGGTGACTGATTGACAAGGGGCGGGCGCTTACGTTCTTCCTGCAACATGAGAAGGGAGGGAGGGACTCTCAGCAGGGATGCAGTCTGGGACACGTAGTTGCAAACCTAGCAACTTTGTTGTTAGATTCAATGACTTTTCAGACCCCCTAACGACTTTTTTTTAGAAAGAAAGGGACTTTTATCGACTTCTTCTGGAGTTTAGAGACTCTGACATGAAGCAGGCTTTCCTTACTGAGGAGTTAGCAACGCTGCTAAGGGTGCAGAGCTACACATGCGCTCAGAGCTCTGCATGGGAGACTGAAGCTGACAGAGCTGCAGCAGTTAGCAGGTTTCACCCTCAGAGACCACCAGGGGTTCATGTTGAGGCATTTTAAATTTTTTTTTTTTTTTGTGCCATAGACACTGTCAGCACAATCTGCAGTTACACTAACAAAAATGCTGCAAAAAACAAAGAATTATGGAAAAATTACACATGGACTGACATAGAGGAGGATCTACACAAGTTTTTTACATCATGTTTTACATCATGCATCATTTACATCATGTTTTTTTGTAGTGGCATAAATAAAAAGTGACATTTGTGAGACTATACAGTGTTTTGTAAATAATTTTACAAAGAACACCTGGGCCATTGCCTGCATTTTGATGTAAATAGAGGTAAATCACTATGTTCTTTGTTAAAAATTTGCATATGTTTTGAAGTTTACAATTTTTATTTGAAGTTTAAGTTTTAAAAACAGTTCATCACACATATTTGTGGTTTTCACAGTAAAAATGTTACTTTTTTCCACTCGGATTTTATGTTTTGTGTGTGAATTTGGGTCCATTGTGTAAATTCAGTAAGTCAACATGATAAAATAACTGTAAATTCGCACAGGTGAGGTTGTGCTGAAAAAAATGATACCAGGCAAGGCACGTGATTGTCAAATTTTGTGTCAATATGACAAAGCGTATAGGCGTGAATCTCAACAATATGTATTTTCACCTTAGGGGACAAGAAAAAATGGACTTTTTTCTCCTGCCATGGGGGGGCGCTCTTTTGGGGAGTAAAAATTCCTTCACAAATGTGTTGATGGCTGGACATTGCATCATCCTAGAAAACTTGGAGGCCAGTGAGGACAAAAATAAAAAGTTATAAGACTTTTAAATATGTGGATTTTAGGGTTATCTTTGGCGCCCCCTAGAACCTAAACCGTGGGGTGCAGCGTCATGATTTGAATAACTTTTAATGGCCATGGGGTGTAGATTGGCCTGAGCAAATGTGGTGCCGGTGGAACGAAAGCCTTAGGAGGAGTTAGCCACATTCCAATGTGTGCGGATCGGCAAGAAATGCGGAATAACCCTTTAACCGTACATTTGACAGATACGCGCGCATTGACTTTTTCGTAGATCTTATTGAGTTACATGTGTGTGTCAATTTTTGTGTCATTTTGACAAAGCGTATAGGCGTGACACTCAACAATGTGTATTTTCACCTTAGGGGACAAGAAAAAATGGACTTTTTTCTCCTGCCATGGGGGGGCGCTCTTTTGGGGAGTAAAAATTCCTTCACAAATGTGTTGATGGCTGGACATTGCATCATCCTAGAAAACTTGGAGGCCAGTGAGGACAAAAATAAAAAGTTATAAGACTTTTAAATATGTGGATTTTAGTGTTATCTTTGTCGCCCCCTAGAACCTAAACCGTGGGGTGCAGCGTCATGATTTTGATAACTTTTAATGGCCACGGGGTGTAGATTGGCCTGAGCAAATGTGGTGCCGGTGGAACGAAAGCCTTCGGAGGAGTTAGCGAAATTCCAATGTGTGCGGATCGGCAAAAAATGCGAAATAACCCTTTAACCGTAATTTTGACAGATACGGCCGCACTGACTTTTTTGTAGATCTTATTGAGATACATATGTGTGTCAATTTTTGTGTCAATATGACAAAGCGTACAGGCGTGACAGTCAATAGTGTGAATTTACACCTTAGGGGGCGCTATGGAGCCATTTTGCATTTTATTGTTTGGGCGACTTCAGAATATCGAATTTTTCACCAGGCCCGGTCGTCCTGCCAAATTTCATGAGTTTTCGCCAGTGGGAAGTGGGCCATTTTCCAGTTCAAAGGGGAGGAAAAAGAAGAAAGAAAGAAAGAACTAGGGCCCCGTTGGGGCACTGGCGGGCCCGAGCCGTGTCGCGCTGCCCCCCCCAACGCGCTGCCTCCCCGTCCCATTCGCGTCCTCTGGCCATCGCCCTCTCTGGTAACGCCCATCACTGCAAAGACCCTTTCCTTCATCGGCGTTTGCTGTTCTTCCTGCCAGTGCGTGTTGCTTTCACTTACACTTGCCACAGCCAGCCTCGTGAGTGCCTAGCCTATTGGATATCACTGTCATCTACACAGGACAGTCATAACCTTTCTATTAATACTTGTTTTTTAATTTCACATTAATTTCAATATTGTATAAATGACTGGAAAAAACTTGAGCCCCTGCCCCTGTATAATCATGTGCACGTCCCTGTTCTAGCTCCAAGGTGAATCTTCACTGCTCATGTTCTCCTCAGAAGTAGTCACCTCACTCCCCTCAGGTGACTGTACACATGCACCAACTGCCTGCTTCAGGTTTGGATGGAGCTTCATGGTTGTCTTTTGGAGAAATGAGCAGTCAAGTTGTGTTTGAAGTTTGTGTTTGAAAGAAAGGGACTTTTATCGACTTCTTCTGGAGTTTAGAGACTCTGACATGAAGCAGGCTTTCCTTACTGAGGAGTTAGCAACGCTGCTAAGGGTGCAGAGCCACACATGCGCTCCGAGCTCTGCATGGGAGACTAAAGCTGACAGAGCTGCAGCAGTTAGCAGGTTTCACCCTCAGAGACCACCAGGGGTTCATGTTGAGGCATTTTCAGTTTGTTTTTTTTTTTTGCCATAGACACTGTCAGCACAATCTGCAGTTACACTAACAAAAATGCTGCAAAAAACAAAGAATTATGGAAAAATTACACATGGACTGACATAGAGGAGGATCTACACAAGTTTTTTACATCATGTTTTACATCATGCATCATTTACATCATGTTTTTTTGTAGTGGCATAAATAAAAAGTGACATTTGTGAGACTATACAGTGTTTTGAAAATAATTTTACAAAGAACGCCTGGGCCATTGCCTGCATTTTGATGTAAATAGATGTAAATTACTATGTTCTTTGTTAAAAATTTGCATATGTTTTGAAGTTTACAATTTTTATTTGAAGTTTAAGTTTTAAAAACAGTTCATCACACATATTTGTGGTTTAATTTCACATTAATTTCCATATTGTATAAATGACTGGAAAAAACTTGAGCCCCTGCCCCTGTATAATCATGTGCACGTCCCTGTTCTAGCTCCAAGGTGAATCTTCACTGCTCATGTTCTCCTCAGAAATAGTCACCTCACTCCCCTCAGGTTACTGTACACATGCACCAACTATCTGCTTCAGGTTTGGATGGAGCTTCATGGTTGTCTTTTGGAGAAATGAACAGTCAAGTTGTGTTTGAAATTTGATTTTTTTTAGGGGCAAAAGGAAGCCTCTGCATTCTTGTCAAATATGTAAACAGCATGTTTTTGCAGGTGCTAAAAAAGACTCTGAGTGTGTGTGTGTGTGTGTGTGTGTGTGTGTGTGTGTGTGTGTGTGTGTGTGTGTGTGTGTATCCTGCAGTACTCTGTACTCCTGCAGTGGCCAAAAAGACTTTTAAGAATGTGGATTTTTGGGTCATCTTTGGCGCCCCCTAGAACTGCAGTACTCTGTACTCCTGCAGTGGCCAAAATGACTTTTAAGAATGTGGATTTTTGGGTCATCTTTGGCGCCCCCTAGAACGTAAACCGTGGGGTGCAGCGTCATGATTTTTACAACTTTGAATGGGCATGGGGTGTAGATTGCCCTGAGCAAATTTGGTATCGGTGGGACGAAAGCCTTAGGAGGAGATAGCCACATTCCAATGTGTGCGAATCGGCAAAAAATGCAAAATAGCCCTTTAACCGTACATTATACAGATATGCGCTCTTTGACTTTTTCGTAGATCTAATTGAGATACACATGATTGTCAATTTTTGTGTCAATATGACATAGCGTTCAGGCGTGACACTTAACAATGTGTATTTTCATGTAAGGGGACAAGAAAAAATTGACTTTTTTCTCCTACCATGGGGGGGGGCGCTCTTTTGGGGAGTAAAAATTCCTTCACAAATGTGTTGATGGCTGGACATTGCATCATCCTAGAAAACTTGGAGGCCAGTGAGGACAAAAAAAAAAGTTATAAAACATTTAAGAATGTGGATTTTTGGGTTATTTTTGGCGCCCCCTAGAACCTAAACCATGGGGTGCAGCATCATGATTTGAATAACTTTTAATGGCCATGGGGTGTAGATTGGCCTGAGCAAATGTGGTGCCGGTGGAACGAAAGCCTTCGGAGGAGTTAGCGAAATTCCAATGTGTGCGTATCGGCAAAAAATGCGGAATAACCCTTTAACCGTACATTTGACAGATACGCGCGCACGGACTTTTTTGTAGATCTTATTGATATACATGTGTGTGTCAAATTTTGTGTCAATATGACAAAGCGTACAGGCGTGACACTCAACAATGTGTATTTTCACCTTAGGGGACAAGAAAAAATGGACTTTTTTCTCCTGCCATGGGGGGGCGCTCTTTTGGGGATTAAAAATTCCTTCACAAATGTGTTGATGGCTGGACATTGCATCATCCTAGAAAACTTGGAGGCCAGTGAGGTCAAAAATAAAAAGTTATAAGACTTTTAAATATGTGGATTTTAGGGTTATCTTTGGCGCCCCCTAGAACCTAAACCGTGGGGTGCAGCGTCATGATTTGAATAACTTTTAATGGCCATGGGGTGTAGATTGGCCTGAGCAAATGTGGTGCCGGTGGAACGAAAGCCTTCGGAGGAGTTAGCGAAATTCCAATGTGTGCGTATCGGCAAAAAATGCGGAATAACCCTTTAACCGTACATTTGACAGATACGCGCGCATGGACTTTTTTGTAGATCTTATTGATATACATGTGTGTGTCAAATTTTGTGTCAATATGACAAAGCGTACAGGCGTGACACTCAACAATGTGTATTTTCACCTTAGGGGACAAGAAAAAATGGACTTTTTTCTCCTGCCATGGGGGGGCGCTCTTTTGGGGATTAAAAATTCCTTCACAAATGTGTTGATGGCTGGACATTGCATCATCCTAGAAAACTTGGAGGCCAGTGAGGTCAAAAATAAAAAGTTATAAGACTTTTAAATATGTGGATTTTAGGGTTATCTTTGGCGCCCCCTAGAACCTAAACCGTGGGGTGCAGCGTCATGATTTGAATAACTTTTAATGGCCATGGGGTGTAGATTGGCCTGAGCAAATGTGGTGCCGGTGGAACGAAAGCCTTCGGAGGAGTTAGTGAAATTCCAATGTGTGTGGATCGGCAAAAAATGCGGAATAACCCTTTAACCGTACATTTGACAGATACGCCCGCACTGACTTTTTTGTAGATCTTATTGAGATACATGTGTGTGTCAATTTTTGTGTCAATATGACAAAGCGTAAAGGCGTGACAGTCAATAGTGTGAATTTTCACCTTAGGGGGCGCTATGGAGCCATTTTGCATTTTATTGTTTGGGCGACTTCAGAATATTGAATTTTTCACCAGGCCCGGTCATCCTGCCAAATTTCATGAGTTTTCGCCAGTGGGAAGTGGGCCATTTTCCAGTTCAAAGGGGAGGAAAAAGAAGAAAGAAAGAAACAAAGAAAAACCCCTTGGGGAATAATAGGGCTCTCGCAGCTGCTTAGCAGCTACGCTCGGGCCCTAAAGAAAGAAACTAGGGCCCCGGTGGGGCACTGTCGGGCCCGAGCCGCGTCGCGCCGCCCCCAGCGCGACCGCCTCCCCCTCCCGATCGCGTCACACTCAAGGTCCAAAGATGGTGTGCGCACTTGTCTGTGGTCATTTCCAATTATAATGAATGGGAGGCGCAGTTTCTACCAAAACACTCGCTGCAGACAAACTTCATGTCCTATTTGAAAAAAGTCTGGACCATGAGTGAGGGCACAAACACAGCTATGATATATCGAAATGGCAGGTTGCTCCTCCTTACGGTGTTGCCTGGAGAGCGATGCGATTGAGCCATTGAGCGATGGGCAGGGTAAACTTGACTTTTTCTCCTGCCTTGGGGGGGGGGGGGGGGGGATGTGGATTCCTTTAAGAATGTGGATTTTTGGGTCATCTTTGGCGCCCCCTAGAACGTAAACCGTGGGGTGCAGCGTCATGATTTGAATAACTTTTAATGGCCATGGGGTGTAGATTGGCCTGAGCAAATGTGGTGCCGGTGGAACGAAAGCCTTCGGAGGAGTTAGCGAAATTCCAATGTGTGCGGATCGGCAAAAAATGCGGAATAACCCTTTAACCGTACATTTGACAGATACGCGCGCATTGACTTTTTCGTAGATCTTATTGAGATACATGTGTGTGTCAATTTTTGTGTCATTTTGCCAAAGCGTACAGGTGTTACACTCAACAATGTGTATTTTCACCTTAGGGGACAAGAAAAAATGGACTTTTTTCTCCTGCCATGGGGGGGCGCTCTTTTGGGGAGTAAAAATTCCTTCACAAATGTGTTGATGGCTGGACATTGCATCATCCTAGAAAACTTGGAGGCCAGTGAGGGCAAAAATAAAAAGTTATAAGACTTTTAAATATGTGGATCTTAGGGTTATCTTTGGCGCCCCCTAGAACCTAAACCGTGGGGTGCAGCGTCATGATTTGAATAACTTTTAATGGCCATGGGGTGTAGATTGGCCTGAGCAAATGTGGTGCCGGTGGAACGAAAGCCTTCGGAGGAGTTAGCGAAATTCCAATGTGTGCGGATCGGCAAAAAATGCGAAATAACCCTTTAACCGTACATTTGACAGATACGCCCACACTGACTTTTTTGTAGATCTTATTGAGATACATGTGTGTGTCAATTTTTGTGTCATTTTGACAAAGCGTACACGCGTGACAGTCAATAGTGTGAATTTTCACCTTAGGGGGCGCTATGGAGCCATTTTGCATTTTCTTGTTTGGGCGACTTCGGAATATCAAATTTTTCACCAGGCCCGGTCGTCCTGCCAAATTTCATGAGTTTTCGCCAGTGGGAAGTGGGCCATTTTCCAGTTCAAAGGGGAGGAAAAATAATAATAACTAGGGCCCCGGTAGGGCACTGTCGGGCCCGAGCCGTGTCACGCCGCCCCCAGCGCGACCGCCTCCCCCACCCGATCGCGTCACACTCAAGGTCCAAAGATGGTGTGCGCACTTGTTTGTGGTCATTTACCATTATAATGAACGGGAGGCGCAGTTTCTACCAAAACGCTCGCTGCAGAAAAACTCCATGTCCTATTTGAAAAAAGTCTGGACCATGAGTGAGGGCACAAACACAGCTAAGATATATCCAAATGGCAAGTTGCTCCTCCTTTCGCTTTTGCCGAGAGAGCAGTGCGTTTGAGCCATTGAATGATGAACAGGAAAAACTTGACTTTATTCTCCTGCCATGGGGGGCGCTCTTTTAAAGAGAAAAACTCCTTCACAAATGTGTTGATGGCTGGACATTGCATCATCCTAGAAAACATGGAGGCCAGTGAGGACAAAAATAAAAAGTTATAAGACTTTTAAATATGTGGATTTTAGGGTTATCTTTGGCGCCCCCTAGAACCTAAACCGTGGGGTGCAGCGTCATGATTTGAATAACTTTTAATGGCCATGGGGTGTAGATTGGCCTGAGCAAATGTGGTGCCGGTGGAACGAAAGCCTTCGGAGGAATTAGCGAAATTCCAATGTGTGCGAATCTGCAAAAAATGCGAAATAACCCTTTAACCGTACATTTTACAGATACGTGGCCATTGACTTTTTCGAAGATCTTATGTAAATACACGTGTATGTAAAACTTTGTGTCAATACGACAAAACATACAGGCGTAGCACTCAACAATGTGTATTTTCACCTTAGTGGACAAGAAAAAATTGACTTTTTTCTCCTGCCATGGGGGGGCGCTCTTTTGCCGAGTAAAAATTCCTTCACAAATGTGTTGATGGCTGGACATTGCATCATCCTAGAAAACTTGGAGGCCAGTGGGGACAAAAATAAAAAGTTATAAGACTTTTAAATATGTGGATTTTACGGTTATCTTTGGCTCCCCCTAGAACCTAAACCGTGGGGTGCAGCGTCATGATTTGAATAACTTTTAATGGCCATGGGGTGTAGATTGGCCTGAGCAAATGTGGTGCCGGTGGAACGAAAGCCTTCGGAGGAGTTAGCGAAATTCCAATGTGTGCGGATCGGCAAAAAATGCGGAATAACCCTTTAACCGTACATTTGACAGATACGCGCGCATTGACTTTTTCGTAGATCTTATTGAGATACATGTGTGTGTCAATTTTTGTGTCATTTTGCCAAAGCGTACAGGTGTTACACTCAACAATGTGTATTTTCACCTTAGGGGACAAGAAAAAATGGACTTTTTTCTCCTGCCATGGGGGGGCGCTCTTTTGGGGAGTAAAAATTCCTTCACAAATGTGTTGATGGCTGGACATTGCATCATCCTAGAAAACTTGGAGGCCAGTGAGGGCAAAAATAAAAAGTTATAAGACTTTTAAATATGTGGATCTTAGGGTTATCTTTGGCGCCCCCTAGAACCTAAACCGTGGGGTACAGCGTCATGATTTGAATAACTTTTGATGGCCATGGGGTGTAGATTGGCCTGAGCAAATGTGGTGCCGGTGGAACGAAAGCCTTCGGAGGAGTTAGCGAAATTCCAATGTGTGCGGATCGGCAAAAAATGCGAAATAACCCTTTAACCGTACATTTGACAGATACGCCCGCACTGACTTTTTTGTAGATCTTATTGAGATACATGTGTGTGTCAATTTTTGTGTCATTTTGACAAAGCGTACCGGCGTGACAGTGAATAGTGTGAATTTTCACCTTAGGGGGCGCTATGGAGCCATTTTGCATTTTCTTGTTTGGGCGACTTCGGAATATCAAATTTTTCACCAGGCCCGGTCGTCCTGCCAAATTTCATGAGTTTTCGCCAGTGGGAAGTGGGCCATTTTCCAGTTCAAAGGGGAGGAAAAATAATAATAATAATAACTAGGGCCCCGTTGGGGCACTGGCGGGCCCGAGCCGCGTTGCGCCGCCCCCAGTGCGACCGCCTCCCCCTCCCGATCGCGTCACACTCAAGGTCCAAAGATGGTGTGCGCACTTGTCTGTGGTCATTTCCCATTATAATGAATGGGAGGCGCAGTTTCTACCAAAACACTCGCTGCAGACAAACTACATGTCCTATTTGAAAAAAGTCTGGACCATGAGTGAGGCCACAAACACAGCTAGGATATATCCAAACGGCAAGTTGCTCCTTGTTACGGTGTTGCCGGGAGAGCGATGCGATTGAGCCATTGAGTGATGGGCAGGAAAAACTTGACTGTTTCTCCTGCCATGGGGGATGGGGGATGGGGGGGGGATGTGGATTCTTTTAAGAATGTGGATATTTGGGTCATCTTTGGCGCCCCCTAGAACGTGAGCCGTGGGGTGCAGCGTCATGATTTTTACAACTTTGAATGGCCATGGGGTGTAGATTGGCCTGAGCAAATTTGGTGTCAGTGGGACGAAAGCCTTAGGAGGAGTTAGCCACATTCCAATGTGTGCGAATCGGCAAAAAATGCAAAATAGCCCTTTAACCGTACATTTGACAGATACACGCCCATTGACTTTTTCGTAGATCTTATTGAGATACACGTGATTGTCAAATTTTGTGTCAATATGACAAAGCGTATAGGCGTGAATCTCAACAATATGTATTTTCACCTTAGGGGACAAGAAAAAATGGACTTTTTTCTCCTGCCATGGGGGGCGCTCTTTTGGGGAGTAAAAATTCCTTCACAAATGTGTTGATGGCTGGACATTGCATCATCCTAGAAAACCTGGAGGCCAGTGAGGACAAAAATAAGAAGTTATAAGACTTTTAAATATGTGGATTTTAGGGTTATCTTTGGCGCCCCCTAGAACCTAAACCGTGGGGTGCAGCGTCATGATTTGAATAACTTTTAATGGCCATGGGGTGTAGATTGGCCTGAGCAAATGTGGTGCCAGTGGAACGAAAGCCTTAGGAGGAGTTAGCCACATTCCAATGTGTGCGGATCGGCAAAAAATGCGGAATAACCCTTTAACCGTACATTTGACAGATATGCGCGCATTGACTTTTTCGTAGATCTTATTGAGATACATGTGTGTGTTAATATTTGTGTCATTTTGCCAAAGCGAACAGGCGTGACACTAAACAATGTGTATTTTCACCTTAGGGGACAAGAAAAAATAGACTTTTTTCTCCTGCCATGGGGGGGCGCTCTTTTGGGGAGTAAAATTTCCTTCACAAATGTGTTGATGGCTGGACATTGCATTATCCTAGAAAACTTGGAGGCCAGTGAGGACAAAAATAAAAAGTTATAAGACTTTTAAGAATGTGGATTTTTGGGTTATCTTTGGCGCCCCCTAGAACCTTCACCGTGGGTTGCAGCGTCATGATTTGTACAACTTTTAATGGCCATGGGGTGTAGATTGGCCTGAGCAAATTTGGTGCCGGTGGAACGAAAGCCTTCGGAGGAGTTAGCGAAATTCCAATGTGTGCGGATCGGCAAAAAATGCAAAATAGCCCTTTAACCGTACATTATACAGATACGCGCTCTATGACTTTTTTGTAGATCTTATTGAGATACACGTGATTGTCAAATGTTTTGTCAATATGACAAAGCGTTTAGGCGTGACACTCAACAATGTGTATTTTCATGTTAGGGGACAAGAAAAACTTGACTTTTTTCTCCTGCCATGGGGGGGCGCTCTTTTGGGGAGTAAAAATTCCTTCACAAATGTGTTGATGGCTTGACATGGCATCATCCTAGAAAACTTGGAGGCCAGTGAGGACAAAAATAAAAAGTTATAAGAATTTTAAGAATGTGGATTTTTGGGTTATCTTTGGCGCCCCCTAGAACGTAAACCGTGGGGTGCAGCATCATGATTTGTACAACTTTTAATGGCCATGGGGTGTAGATTGGCCTGAGCAAATGTGGTGCCGGTGGAACGAAAGCCTTCGGAGGAGTTAGCGAAATTCCAATGTGTGCGGATCGGCAAAAAATGCGAAATAGCCCTTTAACGGTACATTTGACAGATACGCCCGCACTGACTTTTTTGTAGATCTTATTGAGATACACATGTGTGTCAAATTTTGTGTCATTTTGACAAAGTGTACAGGCGTCAGGTGAGTTTTCACCATAGGGGGCGCTATGCAGCCATTTTTCATTTTTTTGTTTGGGCGACTTCAGAATATCAAATTTTTCACCAGGCCCGGTCGTCCTGCCAAATTTCCTGAGTTTTCGCCAGTGGGAAGTGGGCCATTTTCCAGTTTAAAGCGGAGGAAAAATAACGAAAGAAGAATCCATCAGGAACAAGAGGGCTCTCGCAGCTGCTTAGCAGCTACGCTCGGGCCCTAATAACAAAAGAAGGAAACTACAGGAACAAGAGGGCTCTCGCAGCTGCTTAGCAGCTACGCTCGGGCCCTAATAACAAAAGAAGGAAACATGCAGGAACAAGAGGGCTCTCGCAGCTGCTTAGCAGCTACGCTCGGGCCCTAACTAGGGCCCCGTTGGGGCACTGGCGGGCCCGAGCTGTGTCGCCCCCCCCCCCCCCCCAACGCGCTGCCTCCCCGTCCCATTCGCGTCCTCTGGCCATCGTCCTCTCTGGTAACGCCCATCACTGCAAAGACCCTTTTCCTTCATCGGCGTTTGCTGTTCTTCCTGCCAGTGCGTGTTGCTTTCACTTACACTTGCCACAGCCAGCCTTGTGAGTGCCTAGCCTATTGGATATCACTGTCACCTACACAGGACAGTCATTACCTTTCTATTAATACTTTGTTTTTTAATTTCACATTAATTTCCATATTGTATAAACGACTGGAAAAAACTTGAGCCCCTGCCCCCGTATAATCATGTGCACGTCCCTGTTCTCGCTCCAAGGTGAATCTTCACTGCTCATGTTCTCCTCAGAAGCAGTCACCTCACTCCCCTCAGGTTACTGTACACATGCACCAACTGCCTGCTTCAGGTTTGGATGGAGCTTCATGGTTGTCTTTTGGAGAAATGAGCAGTCAAGTTGTGTTAGAAATTTGATTTTTTTCAGGGGCAAAAGGAAGCCTCTGCATTGTTGTCAAATATGTAAATAGCATGTTTTTGCAGGTGCTAAAAAACAGACTCTGAGTGTGTGTGTGTGTGTGTGTGTGTGTGTGTGTGTGTCTGTGTGTGTGTGTGTCTGTGTGTGTGTATCCTGCAGTACTCTGTACTCCTGCAGTGGCCAAAACGACTTTTAAGAATGTGGATATTTGGGTCATCTTTGGCGCCCCCTAGAACGTAAACCATGGGGTGCAGCGGCATGATTTTTACAACTTTGAATGGCCATGGGGTGTAGATTGGCCTGAGCAAATTTGGTGTCAGTGGGACGAAAGCCTTAGGAGGAGTTAGCCACATTCCAATGTGTGCGAATCGGCAAAAAATGCAAAATAGCCCTTTAGCCGTACATTTTACAGATACGCGCCCATTGACTTTTTCGTAGATCTTATTGAGATACACGTGTGTGTCAAATTTTTTGTCAATACGACAAAGCGTACAGGCGTGACACTCAACAATGTGTATTTTCACCTTAGGGGACAAGAAAAAATGGACTTTTTATTCCTGCCATGGGGGGGCGCTCTTTTGGGGAGTAAAAATTCATTCACAAATGTGTTGATGGCTGGACATTGCATCATCCTAGAAAACTTGGAGGCCAGTGAGGACAAAAATAAAAATTTATAAAACTTTTAAGAATGTGGATTTTTGGGTTATTTTTGGCGCCCCCTAGAACCTAAACCATGGGGTGCAGCATTATGATTTGTACAACTTTGAATGGCCATGGAGTGTAGATTGGCCTGAGCAAATGTGGTGCCGGTGGAACGAAAGCCTTCGGAGGAGTTAGCGAAATTCCAATGTGTGCGGATCTGCAAAAAATGCAAAATAACCCTTTAACCGTACATTTGACAGATACGCCCGCACTGACTTTTTTGTAGATCTTATTGAGATACATGTGTGTGTCAATTTTTGTGTCAATATGACAAAGCGTACAGGCGTGACAGTCAATAGTGTGAATTTTCACCTTAGGGGGCGCTATGGAGCCATTTTGCATTTTCTTGTTTGGGCGACTTCAGAATATCGAATTTTTCACCAGGCCCGGTCGTCCTGCCAAATTTCATGAGTTTTCGCCAGTGGGAAGTGGGCCATTTTCCAGTTTAAAGCAGAGGAAAAATAATAACTAGGGCCCCGGTGGGGCACTGGCGGGCCCGAGCCATGTTGTGCCGCCCCCAGCGCGACCGCCTCCCCCTCCCGATCGCATCACACTCAAGGTCCAAAGATGGTGTGCGCACTTGTCTGTGGTCATTTCCCATTATAATGAATGGGAGGCGCAGTTTCTACCAAAACGGTCGCTGCAGACAAACTACATGTCCTATTTGAAAAAAGTCTGGACCATGAGTGAGGGCACAAACACAGCTAGGATATATCCAAATGGCAAGTTGCTCCTCCTTACGGTGTTGCCAGGAGAGCGATGCGATTGAGCCATTGAGCGATGGGCAGGGTTAACTGGACTTTTTCTCCTGCCTTGGGGGGGGGGGGGGGGGATGTGGATTCTTTTAAGAATGTGGATATTTGGGTCATCTTTGGCGCCCCCTAGAACGTAAACCATGGGGTGCAGCGCCATGATTTTTACAATTTTGAATGGCCATGGGATGTAGATCGGCTTGAGCAAATTTCGTGTCGGTGGGAAGAAAGCCTTAGGAGGAGTTAGCCACATTCCAATGTGTGCGAATCGGCAAAAAATGCGAAATAGCCCTTTAACCGTACATTTTACAGATACGTGCCCATTGACTTTTTCGTAGATCTTATTGAGATACACGTGTGTGTCAAATTTTGTGTCATTTTGACAAAGCGTATAGGCGTGACAGTCAACAATGTGTTTTTTCACCTTAGGGGACAAGAAAAAATGGACTTTTTTCTCCTGCCATGGGGGGGCGCTCTTTTCGGGAGTTAAAATTCCTTTACAAATGTGTTGATGGCTGGACATTGCATCATCCTAGAAAACTTGGAGGCCAGTGAGGACAAAAATAAAAAGTTATAAGACTATTAAGAATGTGGATTTTTGGGTTATCTTTGGCGCCCCCTAGAACCTAAACCGTGGAGTGCAGCGTCATGATTTGTACAACTTTTAATGGCCATGGGGTGTAGATTGGCCTGAGCAAATTTGGTGGCGGTGGAACGAAAGCCTTAGGAGGAGTTAGCGAAATTCCAATGTGTGCGGATCGGGAAAAAATGCGAAATAACCCTTTAACCGTACATTTTACAGATACGTGCCCATTGACTTTTTCGTAGATCTTATTGAGATACACGTGATTGTCAAATTTTGGGTCAATATGACAAAGTGTATAGGCGTGACACTCAACAATGTGTATTTTCACCTTAGGGGACAAGAAAAAATGGACTTTTTTCTCCTGCCATGGGGGGCGCTCTTTTGGGGAGTAAAAATTCCTTCACAAATGTGTTGATGGCTGGACATTGCATCATCCTAGAGAACTTGGAGGCCAGTGAGGACAAAAATAAAAAGTTATAAGACTTTTAAGACTGTGGATTTTTGGGTTATCTTTGGCGCCCCCTAGAACGTAGACTGTGGGGTGCAGCGTCATGATTTGTACAACTTTTAATGGCCATGGGGTGTAGATTGGCCTGAGCAAATTTGGTGCCGGTGGAACGAAAGCCTTCGGAGGAGTTAGCGAAATTCCAATGTGTGCGTATCGGCAAAAAATGCGAAATAGCCCTTTAACCGTACATTTGACAGATACGCCCGCACTGACTTTTTTGTAGATCTTATTGAGATACACGTGTGTGTCAAATTTTGTGTCATTTTGACAAAGCGTACAGGCGTGACACTCAATCATGTGAATTTTTCACCTTAGGGGGCGCTATGGAGCCATTTTGCATTTGATTTTTTGGGCGACTTCAGAATATCGAATTTTTCACCAGGCCCGGTCGTCCTGCCAAATTTCATGACTTTTCACCAGTGGGAAGTGGGCCATTTTCCAGTTCAAAGGGGCAGAAAAATAATAATAAGAAGAAGAAAGAAGAATCCATCAGGAATAATACGGCTCTCGCAGCTGCTTAGCAGCTACGCTCGGGCCCTAATAATAACAAACTAGGGCCCCTCTGGGGCACTGGCGGGCCCGAGCCGTGTCGCGCCGCCCCCAGCGCGACCGCCTACCCCTCCCGATCGCGTCACACTCAAGGTCCAAAGATGGTGTGCGCACTTGTCTGTGGTCATTTACCATTATAATGAATGGGAGGCGCAGTTTCTACCAAAACGCTCGCTGCAGACAAACTCCATGTCCTTTTTGAAAAAAGTCTGGACCATGAGTGAGGGCACAAACACAGCTAGTATATATCCAAATGGCAAGTTGCTCCTCCTTTCGGTTTTGCCGAGAGAGCGATGCGTTTGAGCCATTGAGCGATGGGCAGGAAAAACTTGACTTTTTCTCCTGCCATGGGGGGCGCTCTTTTGGGGAGAAAAATTCCTTCACAAATGTGTTGATGGCTGGACATTGCATCATCCTAGAAAACTTGGAGGCCAGTGAGGACAAAAATAAAAAGTTATAAGACTTTTAAAAATGTGGATATTTGGGTCCTCTTTGGCGCCCCCTAGAACGTAAACTGTGGGGTGCAGCGTCATGATTTGTACAACTTTGAATGGCCATGGGGTGTAGATTGACCTGAGCAAATTTGAAGCCGATGGGACAAAAGATTTAGGAGGAGTTAGCCACATTCCAATGTGTGCGAATCGGCAAAAAATGCGAAATAGCCCTTTAACCGTACATTGAACAGATACGCTCGCATTGACTTTTTCGTAGATCTTATTGAGATACATGTGTGTGTCAAATTTTGTGTCATTTTGACAAAGCGTAAAGGCGTGACAGTCAACAATGTGTATTTTCGCCTTAGGAGACAAGAAAAAATGGACTTTTTTCTCCTGCCATGGGGCGCTCTTTTGGCGAGTAAAAATTCCTTCACAAATGTGTTGATGGCTGGACATTGCATCATACTAGAGAACTTGGAGGCCAGTGAGGACAAAAATAAAAAGTTATAAGACTTTTAAGACTGTGGATTTTTGGGTTATCTTTGGCGCCCCCTAGAACGTAAACCGTGGGGTGCAGCGTCATGATTTGTACAACTTTTAATGGCCATGGGGTGTAGATTGGCCTGAGCAAATGTGGTGCCGGTGGAACGAAAGCCTTCGGAGGAGTTAGCGAAATTCCAATGTGTGCGGATCGGCAAAAAATGCAAAATAACCCTTTAACCGTACATTTGACAGATACGCTCGCACTGACTTTTTTGTAGATCTTATTGAGATACATGTGTGTATCAATTTTTGTGTCAATATGACAAAGCGTAAAGGCGTGACAGTCAACAATGTGTATTTTCGCCTTAGGAGACAAGAAAAAATGGACTTTTTTCTCCTGCCATGGGGGGGGCGCTCTTTTGGCGAGTAAAAATTCCTTCACAAATGTGTTGATGGCTGGACATTGCATCATACTAGAGAACTTGGAGGCCAGTGAGGACAAAAATAAAAAGTTATAAGACTTTTAAGACTGTGGATTTTTGGGTTATCTTTGGCGCCCCCTAGAACGTAAACCGTGGGGTGCAGCGTCATGATTTGTACAACTTTTAATGGCCATGGGGTGTAGATTGGCCTGAGCAAATGTGGTGCCTTTGGAACGAAAGCCTTCGGAGGAGTTAGCGAAATTCCAATGTGTGCGGATCGGCAAAAAATGCGAAATAGCCCTTTAACCGTACATTTGACAGATACGCTCGCACTGACTTTTTTGTAGATCTTATTGAGATACATGTGTGTGTCAATTTTTGTGTCAATATGACAAAGCGTAAAGGCGTGACAGTCAATAGTGTGAATTTTCGCCTTAGGAGACAAGAAAAAATGGACTTTTTTCTCCTGCCATGGGGGGGCGCTCTTTTGGCGAGTAAAAATTCCTTCACAAATGTGTTGATGGCTGGACATTGCATCATCCTAGAGAACTTGGAGGCCAGTGAGGACAAAAATAAAAAGTTATAAGACTTTTAAGACTGTGGATTTTTGGGTTATCTTTGGCGCCCCCTAGAACGTAAACCGTGGGGTGCAGCGTCATGATTTGTACAACTTTTAATGGCCATGGGGTGTAGATTGGCCTGAGCAAATGTGGTGCCGGTGGAACGAAAGCCTTCGGAGGAGTTAGCGAAATTCCAATGTGTGCGGATCGGCAAAAAATGCGAAATAACCCTTTAACCGTACATTTGACAGATACGCCTGCACTGACTTTTTTGTAGATCTTATTGAGATACATGTGTGTGTCAATTTTTGTGTCAATATGACAAAGCGTAAAGGCGTGACAGTCAATAGTGTGAATTTTCACCTTAGGGGGCGCTATGGAGCCATTTTGCATTTTATTGTTTGGGCGACTTCAGAATATCGAATTTTTCACCAGGCCCATTCGTCCTGCCAAATTTCATGAGTTTTCGCCAGTGGGAAGTGGGCCATTTTCCCCTTCAAAGGGGAGGAAAAATAAGAAGAAAGAAAGAACTAGGGCCCCGTTGGGGCACTGGCGGGCCCGAGCCGTGTCACGCCGCCCCCAGCGCGACCGCCTCCCCCACCCGATCGCGTCACACTCAAGGTCCAAAGATGGTGTGCGCACTTGTTTGTGGTCATTTACCATTATAATGAACGGGAGGCGCAGTTTCTACCAAAACGCTCGCTGCAGAAAAACTCCATGTCCTATTTGAAAAAAGTCTGGACCATGAGTGAGGGCACAAACACAGCTAAGATATATCCAAATGGCAAGTTGCTCCTCCTTCCGCTTTTGCCGAGAGAGCAGTGCGTTTGAGCCATTGAATGATGAACAGGAAAAACTTGACTTTATTCTCCTGCCATGGGGGGGCGCTCTTTTAAAGAGAAAAAACTCCTTCACAAATGTGTTGATGGCTGGACATTGCATCATCCTAGAAAACATGGAGGCCAGTGAGGACAAAAATAAAAAGTTATAAGACTTTTAAATATGTGGATTTTAGGGTTCTATTTGGCGCCCCCTAGAACCTAAACCGTGGGGTGCAGCGTCATGATTTGAATAACTTTTAATGGCCATGGGGTGTAGATTGGCCTGAGCAAATGTGGTGCCGTTGGAACGAAAGTCTTCGGAGGAATTAGCGAAATTCCAATGTGTGCGAATCTGCAAAAAATGCAAAATAACCCTTTAACCGTACATTTTACAGATACGTGGCCATTGACTTTTTCGAAGATCTTATGTAAATACACGTGTATGTAAAATTTTGTGTCAATACGACAAAACATACAGGCGTAGCACTCAACAATGTGTATTTTCACCTTAGTGGACAAGAAAAAATTGACTTTTTTCTCCTGCCATGGGGGGGCGCTCTTTTGCCGAGTAAAAATTCCTTCACAAATGTGTTGATGGCTGGACATTGCATCATCCTAGAAAACTTGGAGGCCAGTGGGGACAAAAATAAAAAGTTATAAGACTTTTAAATATGTGGATTTTACAGTTATCTTTGGCTCCCCCTAGAACCTAAACCGTGGGGTGCAGCGTCATGATTTGAATAACTTTTAATGGCCATGGGGTGTAGATTGGCCTGAGCAAATGTGGTGCCGGTGGAACGAAAGCCTTCGGAGGAGTTAGCGAAATTCCAATGTGTGCGGATCGGCAAAAAATGCGCAATAACCCTTTAACCGTACATTTGACAGATACGCGCGCATTGACTTTTTCGTAGATCTTATTGAGATACATGTGTGTGTCAATTTTTGTGTCATTTTGCCAAAGCGTACAGGTGTTACACTCAACAATGTGTATTTTCACCTTAGGGGACAAGAAAAAATGGACTTTTTTCTCCTGCCATGGGGGGGCGCTCTTTTGGGGAGTAAAAATTCCTTCACAAATGTGTTGATGGCTGGACATTGCATCATCCTAGAAAACTTGGAGGCCAGTGAGGGCAAAAATAAAAAGTTATAAGACTTTTAAATATGTGGATCTTAGGGTTATCTTTGGCGCCCCCTAGAACCTAAACCGTGGGGTGCAGCGTCATGATTTGAATAACTTTTAATGGCCATGGGGTGTAGATTGGCCTGAGCAAATGTGGTGCCGGTGGAACGAAAGCCTTCGGAGGAGTTAGCGAAATTCCAATGTGTGCGGATCGGCAAAAAATGCGAAATAACCCTTTAACCGTACATTTGACAGATACGCCCGCACTGACTTTTTTGTAGATCTTATTGAGATACATGTGTGTGTCAATTTTTGTGTCATTTTGACAAAGCGTACCGGCGTGACAGTGAATAGTGTGAATTTTCACCTTAGGGGGCGCTATGGAGCCATTTTGCATTTTCTTGTTTGGGCGACTTCGGAATATCAAATTTTTCACCAGGCCCGGTCGTCCTGCCAAATTTCATGAGTTTTCGCCAGTGGGAAGTGGGCCATTTTCCAGTTCAAAGGGGAGGAAAAATAATAATAATAATAACTAGGGCCCCGTTGGGGCACTGGCGGGCCCGAGCCGTGTCACGCCACCCCCAGCGCGACCGCCTCCCCCACCCGATCGCGTCACACTCAAGGTCCAAAGATGGTGTGCGCACTTGTTTGTGGTCATTTACCATTATAATGAACGGGAGGCGCAGTTTCTACCAAAACGCTCGCTGCAGAAAAACTCCATGTCCTATTTGAAAAAAGTCTGGACCATGAGTGAGGGCACAAACACAGCTAAGATATATCCAAATGGCAAGTTGCTCCTCCTTTCGCTTTTGCCGAGAGAGCAGTGCGTTTGAGCCATTGAATGATGAACAGGAAAAACTTGACTTTATTCTCCTGCCATGGGGGGCGCTCTTTTAACGAGAAAAACTCCTTCACAAATGTGTTGATGGCTGGACATTGCATCATCCTAGAAAACATGGAGGCCAGTGAGGACAAAAATAAAAAGTTATAAGACTTTTAAATATGTGGATTTTAGGGTTATCTTTGGCGCCCCCTAGAACCTAAACCGTGGGGTGCAGCGTCATGATTTGAATAACTTTTAATGGCCATGGGGTGTAGATTGGCCTGAGCAAATGTGGTGCCGGTGGAACGAAAGCCTTCAAAAGGAGTTAGCGAAATTCCAATGTGTGCGAATCTGCAAAAAATGCGAAATAACCCTTTAACCGTACATTTTACAGATACGTGGCCATTGACTTTTTCGAAGATCTTATTGAAAGACACGTGTATGTAAAATTTTGTGTCAATACGACAAAACATACAGGCGTAGCACTCAACAATGTGTATTTTCACCTTAGTGGACAAGAAAAAATGGACTTTTTTCTCCTGCCATGGGGGGGCGCTCTTTTGGCGAGTAAAAATTCCTTCACAAATGTGTTGATGGCTGGACATTGCATCATCCTAGAAAACTTGGAGGCCAGTTGGGACAAAAATAAAAAGTTATAAGACTTTTAAATATGTGGATTTTACGGTTATCTTTGGCGCCCCCTAGAACCTAAACCGTGGGGTGCAGCGTCATGATTTGAATAACTTTTAATGGCCATGGGGTGTAGATTGGCCTGAGAAAATGTGGTGCCGGTGGAACGAAAGCCTTCGGAGGAGTTAGCGAAATTCCAATGTGTGCGGATCGGCAAAAAATGCGGAATAACCTTTTAACCGTACATTTGACAGATACGTGCGCATTGACTTTTTTGTAGATCTTATTGAGATACATGTGTGTGTCAATTTTGGTGTCATTTTGCCAAAGCGTACAGGTGTTACACTCAACAATGTGTATTTTCACCTTAGGGGACAAGAAAAAATGGACTTTTTTCTCCTGCCATGGGGGGCGCTCTTTTGGGGAGTAAAAATTCCTTCACAAATGTGTTGATGGCTGGACATTGCATCATCCTAGAAAACTTGGAGGCCAGTGAGGGCAAAAATAAAAAGTTATAAGACTTTTAAATATGTGGATCTTAGGGTTATCTTTGGCGCCCCCTAGAACCTAAACCGTGGGGTGCAGCGTCATGATTTGAATAACTTTTAATGGCCATGGGGTGTAGATTGGCCTGAGCAAATGTGGTGCCGGTGGAACGAAAGCCTTCGGAGGGGTTAGCGAAATTCCAATGTGTGCGGATCTGCAAAAAATGCGAAATAACCCTTTAACCGTACATTTGACAGATACGCCCGCACTGACTTTTTTGTAGATCTTATTGAGATACATGTGTGTGTCAATTTTTGTGTCATTTTGACAAAGCGTACAGGCGTGACAGTCAATAGTGTGAATTTTCACCTTAGGGGGCGCTATGGAGCCATTTTGCATTTTCTTGTTTGGGCGACTTCGGAATATCAAATTTTTCACCAGGCCCGGTCGTCCTGCCAAATTTCATGAGTTTTCGCCAGTGGGAAGTGGGCCATTTTCCAGTTCAAAGGGGAGGAAAAATAATAATAATAATAATAATAACAAAAGAAGGAAACATGCAGGAACAAGAGGGCTCTCGCAGCTGCTTAGCAGCTACGCTCGGGCCCTAATAACAAAAGAAGGAAACTACAGGAACAAGAGGGCTCTCGCAGCTGCTTAGCAGCTACGCTCGGGCCCTAATAATAATAATAACAAAAGAAGGAAACTACAGGAACAAGAGGGCTCTCGCAGCTGCTTAGCAGCTACGCTCGGGCCCTAAAGAAAGAAAGAAAGAAAGAAGAAAGAAAAACCTATACAGGAATAATAGGGCTCTACGCCCGGCTGCTCTGCAGCTGGCTCGGGCCCTAAAGAAGAATCCATCAGGAACAAGAGGGCTCTCGCAGCTGCTTAGCAGCTACGCTCGGGCCCTAAGAAAGAAACAAAGAAAAACCACTTGGGGAATAATAGGGCTCTCGCAGCTGCTTAGCAGCTACGCTCGGGCCCTAAAAAGAAGAATCCATCAGGAACAAGAGGGCTCTTGCAGCTGCTTAGCAGCTACGCTCGGGCCCTAAAGAAAGAAAGAAACAAAGAAAAACCACTTGAGGAACAACAGGGCCTACGCCCAGCTGCTCTGCCGCTGGCTCGGGCCCTAAGAAAGAAAGAAAGAAACAAAGAAAAACCACTTGAGGAATAATAGGGCTCTCGCAGCTGCTCAGCAGCTACGCTCGGGCCCTAAAAAACCACTTGGGGAATAATAGGGCTCTCGCAGCTGCTTAGCAGCTACGCTCGGGCCCTAAAAAACCACTACAGGAATAACAGGGCTCTACGCCCGGCTGCTCTGCAGCTGGCTCGGGCCCTAAAAAACCACTACAGGAATAATAGGGCTCTACGCCCGGCTGCTCTGCAACTGGCTCGGGCCCTAAAGAAAAACCACTACAGGAATAATAGGGGTCTACGCCCGGCTGCTCTGCAGCTGGCTCGGGCCCTAAAGAAGATAGAAAGAAACAAAGAAAAACCACTACAGGAACAACAGGGCTCTACGCCCGGCTGCTCTGCAGCTGGCTCGGGCCCTAATAAACTTGCCTTGACTGCCTTGCCTTTTATGCAGTTCCCCAGAACGATATGTACAACTCCATGGCTTCAAACTTCATTTTTCATCTACGACCACTCTGCTCTCACAAACTCTCCATGGTGACAGCCAATAGCACACGCAAAATCCTTGTTTAAAGAGGGTGGTCCACACCACCTTTGCACCTGTTATCAATTGCACACACAATGATAGGAGATCACGCACAACAGGCCCACTAATAGCCTGTCCAATTTTTGAGTTTGCACATGCAATTTAGTGTTCGCTATTTGGGATCTCAGTTGATCAGGCCCATAGTGTTTTCAGCTTCAGCCTTTTGCACATCAACTTCTCAAGCCAGTACACTGCCACACTCTTACCCCACACTCAATTTTAAAGGGTCATTCCAGCGTAAATTTAAGTTATGGTCAAACACACTGTAACATCGAGTTAGACACCCCCTTGAGAGATGAATGTTGCCGACTGCTTGCTTCTCTAGTTATACCAACTTTAGTAACAACTGCACAATAGCAATACACAGTGGTCTATGTCTCCACACACGAACCTCAACCAAAAAGCCACTCTATAGCCACAAATAGTGCTCAGAACAGCACCTAACTTCATCAACAGGACATATAGGGTCCCAGCCACAGTACTAGCCACCAAACATCTTTTTAGCTTTGCCTGGTGTCTTTAGCAAAGAGACCAAACACAACTCACCCACTCTCCTCCAGCAGCCGCTTGTGAGGGAGCCCTGGCCAGTCGATCAGTGAGTGCAGCAAAAAAAATTGTAATTATTACTTCATGGAAATGCAATCAGACTGAGACGCTAAGGCAGAAGAACTACCACTTCTGCAGTGCACATACAAGATACACAAAAACTTTGATTGCATTTCCATTAAGTAACAAACATAAATGTTATTCCTTAAGCTGCAAAACTCTGCTGCACTCAGAGTGCAGCCTCACATAAACACAGCCCGGGTCAGACACTCGGCAGACTGAACACCAGTCTTCAACCCCTATTAACCCTTCCTGATGATTTATATAGGGTGACAATATGTCCTCTTTTACCCAGACATGTCCTCTTTTTGGGGGGCTGTCCTGGCTGTCGGGCTTTGTCTGGGGAAGTTTATAAAATCCTTCAAATGTCTGTGAATTTGTTTGTAAGTTTCAAGTTTGTGTCATGTGGACTTACTGAGTTAAAAGTGTGTAGAAGACACTTGAGCTGACCCGAAAAACTCTCAAAATTAAATCTGTGTGACTCTGTGACTCCGCCCCCATGTAGTTGTGTCCTCTCTCTGGGAAGTCAGAATATGGTCACCCTAGTCTTTGCGGAGTAGAGGCTTTGGGTTTCTTTTTATTTCCATAAAAAAGTGCTAATGCTGAAGCAGCTTCTTCCAGTTACCACCTGGTGGAGCTAAAGAAACCATGAAAATAATAAAAGTTTGGACTGAGAGGAAGTAGGGAGCATACCCCATCTTTTCAGGTTGATGCCAATTTCATTAAAAGACTTTATTATAATTATCAGTAGTTAGTGAGTTAATGAAGGAATAGGTGGACACTCCTAAAAAAGTTAAATTTACTGACGACTGGACTATTAAGGCAGCGTGACCATCACCCAGTCCACCCAGTTGCATGAAAGGTAATTTTGTGCGGCAACAAAATGTTGTCCCTACATTTGGCAGGGCCTTAAAGTCCCAATTGATTGTTTTTGTTTGTTTTTTGTTGTTATTCATTGGCTTTTAACCCTGCATGAGACTCGGCTCCTGTTTTAGTGTTTTATGGTTTGTTTTTAGTTATTTGTTTCTATGTTTTTAAATCATTTTTTAAAAACATTGAAACTATATTTTACTTTTAATTCTGCTTTTATTTTATCCATTGTTTTAATTGTTTTTTGATTTTTTTTTTTATCTTGTTGTTTTGTTTAGTTATGTACAGCACTTTGTTCAGCTGTGGTTGTTTTAAAGTGTTTAACAAATAAAGTTGAGTTGAGTTGAGTTGAGTTTGTTTGGTTGTTTGTTTTTTCTTTTACTACTTAAACCATGCATAAGACGCCAGTAGCACTGTTAAATATCGTGTTTACCCATTTTTATCCATTTTAAAAAGTCTTGATCAACATTAATTTTTAAGCTATAACATCTCTGCTGCTGGAAAGCGAAAGATCTCGGTCATCAAAGACTTGGTTTTAAAGCTTTTATCTTATACCAGTACTCTAACTTCTGCAGGGTGGTTGACATGCTGGAGAAGATCACCAATGTCCTTGCTCGTCATCCGCTTGCATGGGATGTTGTGGTTCATGTTGGCTGCAATGACATCTCCGATCGATCCTCTAAAGGGGTTAAAGCCATACACTGTACACTGTGTGCGCAATTATTAGGCAAATGAGTATTTTGATCATATCATCATTTTTATGCATATTTTCCAACTCCAAGCTGTATAAACTTGAATGCTTATTGGATATAAGCATATCAGGTAATGTGTATTAGTGTAATGAGGGAGCCTGGGGCCTAAGGAGATCAAAACCCTATATCAAGGTGTGCATAATTATTAGGCAGCTTCTTTTCCTCAGGTAGAATGGGCCAAAAAAGAGATTTAAATGACTCCGAAAAGTCAAAAAATGTAAAAAGTCTTTCAGAGGGATGCAGCACTCTTGAAATTGCTTAGATATTTGGGTGTGATCACAGAACCAGCAAACATTTTGATGCAAATAGTCAACAGGGTCGCAAGAAATGTGTTAAGAAAAAAAGACGCAAATTAACTGCCAAAGATTTGAGAGGACACAAACGTAAAGCTACCAGGAACCCAATATCCTCCAGTGCTGTCATATTCCAGAACTGCCCAGAGGAACAAGATGATCAGTGCTCAGAGACATGGCCAAGGTAAGGAAGGCTGAAACCCGACCACCACTGAACAAGACACAAGTTGAAACGTCAAGACTGGGCCAAGAAATATCTGAAGAGAGATTTTTCAAAGGTTTTATGGACTGATGGGATGAGAGTGACTCTTGACAGAGCAGATGGATGGACCCGTGGCTGGATCAGTAATGAGCACAGAGCTCCACTTCGAATCAGACACCAGCAAGGTGGAGGCGGGGTATTGGTATGGGCTGGTATTATTAAAGATGAGCTAGCTGGACCTTTTGGGTTAAAGATGGACTTAAAATCAACTCCCAAATCCAATGCCAGTTTTGAGAAGACACTTTCTTCAAGCAGTGGTACAGGCAAAAGTCTGCATCTTTCAAGAAAACCATGATTTTTATGCAGGACAATGCTCCATTGCATGCAACAAAGTACTCCACTATGTGGCTCGCCAGTAAAGGCCTTAAAAACGAAAGAATAATGACGTGGCCTCCTTCTTCACCTGACCTAAACCCTGTTGAGAACTTGTGAGCCCTTCTTAAACGGGAAATTTACAGTGAAGGAAGACAGTACACCTCTCTGAACAGTGTCTGGAACAGTGTCTGGAAGGCTTTGGTTCCTGCAACACAAAAAGTTGATCGTCAACAGATCAAGAAACTGAAAGACTCCATGAATGGAAAGCTTATGACTGTTAATGAAAAGAAGGGTGGCTATATTGGTCACTGATTTTTTTTTTTTAAATTTCAACAATTTTTATTTGTAAATTGAGTTGTTTGTTTATCATTCTCACTTTAACAAGTGAAAATAAACAAGTGAGATGGAAAATTTTTCGTTTTTAATTTAGTTGCATAATAATTCTGCACACTATAGCTGCCCCCAATAATTGTGCACACATAGATATTCTCCTAAGGAAGTCAAAATCTCACTTTTACTCCCTTAAATATTAAGGTTTGAGGTTTATTAACATTTTGGATTGACCGAGAGCACTGTAGTTGTTCAAAAATAAAATTTATCCTCAAAAATACAACTTGCCTAATAATTGTGCACACAGTGTATACTATGGGGCGGCAGTAGCTCAGGAGGTAGAGTGGTCGTCCAATAACCGGAAGGTTGGCGGTTCGATTCCCCCCTAATCCAAGTCTGTCCGTTGTGTCCTTGGGCAAGACACTTAACCTACCTTGCTCCCAGTGTGTGTCCTCCACTGGTGTATGATTGTGAGTGTTGTGTGGTGGTGGTCGGAGAGGCCGTAGGCGCAGAATGGCAGCCACGTTTCCACCACCACCAAAGTGTGACTGTGTGAGCGAATGAATGATGTATCCAATGTAAAGCGCTTTGAGGGTCTCTGATAAAGCGCTATATGAAATCTGATGCATTATTATTATTATTATTATGGACAACCTGGTTCTGCCTTCCGCCTGTATACGGATTTGAAGCCAAAAAGCTCTCGGTAATTCCGGGTTTTTCTCCACCTCCTTGAAACCAGAGCTGCGCTGTAGCGATGCATGCATTCGGCCATGCAGTCGCCGAGAGTCCCTGTGATGACGCTCGGCTGAAACAGCGTATCCCCCCCAGGTGAGCTACGCAATCCCTGAACGCCCATAGGCTGTACCAGGTGTCAATCATAGAAAACATGAACCCCCTAATAACTTTTAAAAATGGAGCGGTACAGAAAAAAAAGGACTTGGGCACAAACCAGTCTTACAATAACTACATGTCAACATCACAAGCAGGGGGGAGAAAAAATAATGTTCTGTGTAATAAATTTCTAAAGTTTGTCCACAGTCCCATAAGCTTTGCTGGCGGAGGCGGGATTTATGACCTGTACTGCAGCCCACCATCAGAGGGTGCTGTTCTCGGAGTGGCTTCACCCAGCGAGGAGGCAGACTCTGTCCATCTTATATACAGTCTATGGTTAAAGCAGCACTTTAACACACTCCTGGACCTCCTTGCTACTGAGGGTTGACGCTTCTTCATCAGTGGACCAATCCCACCACACAGTCGCGGCATTGAACGCCTCAGCCAGACTCTGAATCTCCATACATGGCTTAAATCCACTTGTCCAGCCCAAAACTTTGTCTTCATTGACAATTTCAACCAATTCTGGAAACGCCCGGTCCTCTTCCACCCCAACGGCATTCAACTCAGTGGTCTAGGCTCTCGCACGCTAACAGAAAACATTTCCTACTCCATTTGGACCTCTCCCTGGCACATCCTCACCTACCCTGTGCTGCTAATCACAAGCCATCTGCTCCACCCAACAATAAAGTAAACTGCTCCCTCTCATGGCCAGGAAGAGGAATTACACACACCTCACTGTCTCCAGCAAAAACATTCCCTGACTGCCATAGTCCCTCTGTGTCCACCAACCAGCCTACAGCCCCTGAGCCCATCACCTCTATTCCTATTGCCACTGTCTCAAATTTAGTTGTAATTACCCCACAGCCTTCTCTTCTGCTCCTGACCCTTTTCCAAGGCATTCTCTTGACAGAGATGCCTTCAGAGCCAGAAATAGTTTGGGTGTAATACATTTAAATATTCATAGCCTGATACATAAATCAGACTGTGTGAAAGTCCTAGTGTCACAGTGCGATCCTGATATTTAAGTTCTGAGTGAAACATGGCTCAGAAAAAGTGTTACAGACTCAGATGTGGCTTTGTCTGGATACACTAATTTTAGAGTGGATTGAGTTGGTAAGGGAGGTGGTGTGGCAGTCTATGTGAAGTCACTCTTTTCTGTGTCTGTTTTAAATATGGTTATGTACTATACCAAACTGTCTTGGATTTATTGCTTTAAAAATCCAGTTGGGGCCTTTCTCACTGGTAGTGATTGGTGTGTATAGACCCCCATCAGCCAACCCAAAATCAGTAGCTATTTTAGCAAAATTAATTTCTGAGTATATTGACAACGAAATGCTGGTTGTTGGTGATTTTAACTGAAATTGGCTCAATACCACCTCAGATTATTTCAAAGAAATTAGTTCAGATCTACAGCTAACACAACTAATATCAGAATCCACAAGACCTAATCTAAAAGACAACTCAAAATCAACATTAATAGATCTTTCATTTTCCAATAGACCTGAAAAAATTGTTGCCTGTGGGGTTCTTGAACTGGGTGCTAGTAACCACTGTCCCATAGCTTGTGTGAGAAGCACCAAACTAAAAAAAAAAATAAAGTCACACTCAACTCTTAAGAGAAATTTCAAAGTTTTTAATGAAAATCGTTTCCTGGAAGATTTGAGGCAAAACTTCACAAACTTACAAACTCCCTACAGAGACCACTGATAGTCAGGTAGCCCTGGACTTTTTCACAAACAATTTTGTTAAAGTCATTGGTAAACATGCTCCCATTAAAAGGCTCAGAATTAAAGAAAGAATTGCTCCATGGTTCTCACGGGAGCTCTCAGTCATTTTCACAAAAAGGAATAAAGCCTGGTCCCAGGGTAGGCACACAGGAGATCTCTCTTTTAAACAACTTAGAAATAAATGCACAACAGCTGTTTGAAAAGCTAAATCAGATTATTAACTGGAACTCATCATCCGCTCCACTTCAACCCGGCACTGTTCTGGAAAGCAGCAAATTTAGATAAAAGGAAAAACAATAATTCACTTCCCGTAACTATAAAAATCAATGATGGTCTACTTTCAAATCAATCCCAAATATGCTATATCTTAAATAAACACTTCATAGCGGCTGGTCATCTCTCTGAAAAAAAAAAAAAAACTGGAATCCTTCCAGTCATTGATTCCAACATGAGTTCACAAACTGACAGTCTGAGTGCTTATAACTGCACCTCCTCCTTCTCTTTCCAAACCTTTTCTCACTTTGAAGTGTTTCATGCTCTTCAAACCTTAGACACCAGAAGTTCCGCTTGTGAGGACAACTTACACCCCTTCTTTCTAAAACTGGCTGCTCCAATTATTTCAAAAAAGCTATCATGCATTTTCAACCTCTCAATATCCACAGGCTTCCAAATCTATGGAAATCTGCTCATGTGGTTCCCCTACATAAAGGTGGTGCTAAGGAGGATTTAAATGACCATCGCCCAATCTCCAAATTATCCTGTTTATCAAAAGTTCTGGAATCCCTGGTCAATAATCAACTCATGTCCTTTCTTGCACACCACTCAATTCTCAACCCACACCAGTCTGGCTTCAGACAGAATCACAGCACAGTTTCAGCCATTACATTAGTTACAAATGACATAATATCTGCATTAGACAAGAGGCAATACTGCGCTGCTCTCTTTATAAATCTGTCGAAAGCTTTTGACACAATCGATCACTTCTTACTGTTAAAAAAACTATCCAGTATTGGTTTGGATGAAGGTTCACAAGCATGGTTTCAGGATTATTTGTTTGAGATATCTCAATGTGTTAAAAAAGGGCAAGCCAAATCAGATTTTTTATTGATAGATAGAGGAGTGCCACAGGGTTCAGTTTTGGGGCTTTTGCTTTTCACTGTTTATATCAATGACACTGCAAAATTGTCATGTACATCTTTATGCAAATGATGCTATTGTTTATTGTGTCGCAAATACTGTACAATCGGCCATTGACAACCTGCAACTTGATTTTAACATTCTACACGGGTCTCTTATTAACCTTAAACTGGTACTAAATGTAAGCAAGACAAAATTCATGATGTTCTCCAGGGCTAGGAATGTTACATCTGAAAACATAAAGATATCTACTTCCAATGGATCAAGAATTGAGACAGCCACTAACTTTAAATATCTTGGGAAATGGCTTGATGAGGAATTTACATTTAAACATCATATAAGTACTCTTGTCACCCAGTTATGGCAGAGAGTTGGTTTTCTTTACAGAAACAGAGCATGTTTCTACTGTCGTCGTAAAAAAATCGTGGAGGCCATGTTCTTGTCTGTCCTGGACTACGGCGATATAATGTACAGACATGCTGGAGTTTCAACTCTCAAGCCTGTGGACTTAGTTTACCACTCTGCTCTCCAATTCATAACTGGTGTTGGGTACAACACTCATCATTGCATCCTCTATGACAGGGGTTCTCAATTAGAATTGTAAAAGGTCCAGAAAATAAATTTTGAGGAAGTCATAGGTCCACAGTGCATGCGTGGTGGCGAAAAATTTTGGCGTTTTTTTTTATTTCATTTTTTTACCTTTTTTATGTAGTTTTAGGCTGAGTGTACTGTACTGTAAAAATCAGGAGTTATTGGAAGGCACAAAAACATTCATTTTCAGCACACTGTTATTCTTTCTTACTTAGTATTACTTAATAAAATAGCTTAATAAAAAGCTTTTTATTTTATCTGTTTGTAGCTCAGATTTTGGGCGGCAATCTCTATCAAAATCGCTTCTTATAAGGGCGTTTTATGTTTTCACTTTTTATCAGAGCAACTGTGCTTTGCACAAAAGACAAATTGGCTTTGTGCTTGAAGGAGGTAAGCTAATCATATATTTGTCGGTCCATTCGTCAGTGAATCAGCGATTTTCAGTGTCCACCTTTCTCTGATTTGCCCTTTTGATGTCGGGTGCTGGGTGTGAGCAACGCTCCTGCTACAAAGACGTTACCACTGCCTGCGCCGTGCAAAGAAGACAGACTGAAGGAGGCAGATGTGTGACTGCCGGTTTGCGTAGTTATCAGCCAATCAGCGCATCGTTGTCATGGGAATGGCAGCCCATTATGCAAGCGGGAGCACGCGCAGTCACACACACACACACAGACACACACACACACACAGGCTCTCTCTCTCTCGCTCTCTCTCTCGGCCAGTCTAACCTCGCGTCAGTCAGTCAGAGAGAGTGCCGTGCCGTGTTGTTGATTTTTTTATTTTGCTCTGGGTCCACAAAGAGGTGGTCCGCCTATTGCGGACCCTGGCTCTATGAGAAAGTTGGTTGGCCATCACTTGATCAGAGAAGGAATAAGCACTGTTTTTTGTATGTTTTCAAATCCCTTACAAACATGCTCCCACCCTACCTCACAAACCTGTTAAAGTTTTATGATTGCTCCTACATGACCCATTCTTCTGGTTCACTAACTCTGAAAGGTCTTCGAGTCTACACTGAACTACACATGTAGTGTAGTGTAGTTAGGACTTTAATTGTGATAAAGTTTTAGCCAAAATCACGTTACCTGTAACATTTTCAAGGGCTTTTCTTCCACAGAGCTCCAGTAGCTCATCAGCAATTCAACTCTGAGTCAAGACAGCGCTGCTCTGCGCACTCCTCTTCATGCAAACTTGCAGCCTAATATTGCCAGTATAGCAGAAGTGGCAGGTAATACTGGAGCGATTCAGCTCTCGGACACTCATGTATTTAGAGGACATGATAAAAGTTAATATCATAATTAGCTTTCTTATGAGCATCGCAATCTGCTAATACACGTGCTTGTTCTGCCGTCGTCCTCTATACTTTTCCGGGTGTGGCCTGCATAGTGGAGCTCTGGGAGTGGAACTTGGATTTGTGATGCAGGAAATCTCTCTGCGTCTGATCCTGTAGTTTGGGTCTGCCAGAGATTCACAGCCATTTGAATGAAAAAATATGCAGAAATGCAATTTTGCACTTACTTTTCTCATGATATGTCCTGTAGCATCAGAAAAATGCCATATGAACATGTATACAACAAGAAAAACAATATTTTCATTGGAGTGGGTCTTTGAGTTTCACATTGTGGCTGAATTGTGTCTGGAGTAGGGCCTGCAAAATAATGATCTCTATGAGCCAACTCCAAAACTGTTAAAAAGCTGCTCCTTGCTTCTAATTTGACCTGCACAGGTCATCTGATCATAGATACAGCTTCTGATTAGTCAACAGATGGAAACTAAGATGGAAGCCTTTGAAGGGTAACCAGGTAACAACAAAGATAGAAATATTTCACTAAATTTAATACATAAATCATCAAAGATTACTTTTGTTATTGAGGCACTGGACACAGATAGTCTGTGAAATACACAGACCTCTTCTAAATTCATTTTTGGATGTTGAATTTCTTTTTCTATGGACTAATGTCATACAGTTAATGTTTAGTCTTGTCTGCTGCATGGTCAGGTATTTATAGACCTTGTCAATAGAAGAGAGAGTTTAAATAACCCTGAGCTGATTGATCCACTGATACACAAATACAGACAGATGCAGCTGTAATTCTTCATTTCAAAAATAAGTCTCCTGCATACAGGTATCTTTGAGGCAGTTGTTGATGTAATGTGAGGTGGAGTTAAGTGAGGCTGTATCTCTACTATTAATGTGGAGTCCTTTAGATAGCTGATATGGTTTTATATAAGCCTTAAATGTTTTCACTCCTGCTCACAACACATACAGTAGAGTGTCAGGATTTAACTCTTCAGTTACTGTATTCAGGTATTGTGGAAAATTGGAGCTCACAGGGTTGTCTGGGTCTTTTAGGCTTGCTAAAAGTAGAGTCATAGGTTAAGCCTGTGCAGGGCTTAAAGAAACCTATTTCTCTTATCTCCCCTGGTCATGAACCATGAGCAATAACATTATCAAGGGTCTGTTGTTACAGGGTTGGGCTAGAGAGGAGCAGAATTACAGGCAGTGAGGAGATTTTAAACACTACAGGTCTGGAGGATGTGTCCAATCGTGCCTCTAATCTGGTCATTGTGCTGGGCCTTATTAGCCATCAGCGCTTCGAATAGAACAAAGAATAATATTAGTGGATCCATAAATCATAACTTCAAACACAGTGGTAGGTTACTTTCTTATGTGCCCTCCTAGAAACAGCCTCAGCCTGCAGAACCTACTGCCTCTTGTTGCTCTCTTTATGCTTTATTTTTTTCCACAATGTGATGTGAAAAGAGACCAGGGGCCTCATGTATCAACACTTGCGTGGAACTCATACCAGAAACGAGCGCACGCAAGGTCCGTCACGCTGAAAAAAATCCGTATGTATCAATGTGTGCGGGCGCCGAAATCCACGTGTGTTTCCTTGATAAATCCCAATCAGCGTGGAATTGAGCGCAGATGTCGGAGTGACTGGGCCCGTCCCCGTTACGCCCTCCTATAAATATGCAGATTTATTTAAATAGGGTCTCCCTGTCCTCGCACGCAGACAAAATGACAAGAAAAACTAAATTTACGGTGTGCGAGGTGGAGGTGCTGGTGGTGGAGGTGGAGGAGCGACAGCGTGTTTTGTTTGGCAGCCTGTCCAGTGGCTTCAGTGCAAAACGAAAACGCTTAGAGTGGGAGAAAGTTTGCGAGAGGGTGAATGCGGTGGGTTCCGAGACACGCACCCCCGCGGAGATTAAAAAAAAGTGGTCGGACCTCAAGGTGGAGGTCAAGCGGCGTACAGCTGCCCTCCGGAGGAGTACCGGCCAGACAGGTGGGGGTCCGGGGGAGGAGACCCTCACACCGTTTGAGCAGCGGGTGATGGCGATTATTATTATAGGGTAAGTGGCGTGTCACACAAATGTCCACATGCTTTGTCATCCCACTGAGCAAAAGACGTATATTAGACGTCTAGTCTAAGTTTATACTTCATTTCAACGTCGGGATTCAGTCTATTTTTAGACGTGATTTATACTTCGCCCTTAACTTCATTTTTCGATAACTTTTTATGCAATAAACAACTGTAATGTGCATAACTGACCTCTAAATACTGGATTACATTACCTATGATACCGTGGAGAGAGATGTAAACGCAACAGATACACAGAAGCAGGAATTGAAATAAAGAAATATTTTTATTGTGTCACAGAAATCAATGTGTCGGCCGAGTCGCCGGCTTGCGGAACCCCGGCCCGCGGCAGCCCGTCCGCCGGCTCGGAGTCGTCGGCCAGGACCAGCGGCATTCGGGCCACCCCGGCCCCCGGCCCCAGCACCAGCACCAGCATCAGCACCAGTGCGCCGACAAGCGGTGGAGCGTCCACCAGCCGCGGCGCTTCCGTTGGACCACCCGGACACAGTGGAAGGGTCCTCACGGAGGGGGTCCTGCAATCGCAGGAAGAAATCATCTGGGGGATCGCGGGGATCAACGAGCGGCTGGACCGGCTCGTAAATGTCCTCGAGCGTCTGGTGGAGAAAATAAATTAATTTGGCTCATTGAACTGTGTATTCAATTCTTACCCATTCACACTGTGGCGATGAGATTCTCCCGCGCGAGGACGGCGGCCCGGCAGGGATCAGCTCGCATCCCTCTGTCTGCTGCTGGTTCGTCATGTGGGGCGACGTGCTGCTCGGCCACGGGGATGTGGTGCACGCTTGTCACATAGTGAGTCACCAAACACCACCACACAGCGTCGCCAAAGTGCGAATCACAGTCAACGCAAGTATCGGCTCAACGCCAATTTCTACACCACCTCCTGACTTTGCGTTGATTAGCGCTGGAACCGACGCTCGTTTCGCGATGATAAATCTGGACGTGTGCGCCGATTTTGGCGTACGCAAGGTTTTCTTGCGCCGCAAGCGTTGATACATGAGGCCCCTGGACTGAAAACAGTATTAAGTGCTTGTGGGTGTGTTTTTAATCAGATGTTATCAGGTATTCCATTCAATAAGGATTTCTTTACTTCGGGCTTGGTGTGATTGTTCAGACTGAGTCCACTCCAAAGCTGTATTGATCGGGCTTGCATGATAGCTCTTAAAGATGTGCCAATGGATTGTGTGTTGTGCATTAATGCACCAATGTGGTAACCTCAAACAACAAACCTTACTTTATAGGAACAGACACACTATGTATTTTTCTGACTGCTTTTAAACATTGATCAGCAGGAAGTCATGCACAGGAGCATCTTGGAACACCAGTTCGGAGATGCCAGTTTGGTCCAGTGGTCGGATTGCATGTCCCTTAAACAGAGGCTTTAGCCCATAAGGCAGGTGACCTGGGTCGGGTTCCAACTTACAACCAATAACCAACATCATTCCTCACTCTGTCATCCCAGTGTACTCGGACTTCTGCATTATCCTCTCAGGAGGGTTCTGGGCATATTCACAGTTACCTGACAACTCATATGCTACATTTGGCCATTTCTTGTTAACAATTACAACCAAGAACCACAGACAACACTTTTACTTAGCAGCTGCCAGTCAGTTGCTTCGGTGTTTGTCATCGTAACAGGCTCATGGCTGATGGATGACCATGTGTCCATATTCCTGCAGGATCAGCCTGTTTTTAAGACATATTTCCATGTCCTAATAGATCTTATTTCCTGGTTTTCAACCGTTGAAATACTGAGCATTTTTGCCCCTGCCAATTCCTGTATCTTGTTAGCATAGACTGTATATAGAATGGATGCTGTTGGCCTCTTCAATGGGTGAAGCCACTCTGAGAACAGTAAACTCTGGTGATGGGCTGCAGTATAGGTCATAAATCCCACCAGATCTAGCCATCCTTATGGAGCTATGGAAAAACTTCAGAAATTAATTACACAGAATATGAATTTTTCTCCCCCCTGCTTGCGATGTTGACATGACAAATGACAAATCTCCACCACAATGTCTCCCATTCCTCCTCCATCCCATTCAAATGTCTCAACCACTTCAACACCCCCCCCCCCCCCCCTTAGAACACCAGTCCTTGTCTGTCACAGAAACAGGGGTGAGATTGGAGCTTGGAAGACTTTGCCCTTGGAAGGCAGCTGGTCCAGGTGGTGTGTGTCCAAGGCTGCTTAAAGACTGTGCTGCAGAACTGTGTCAACCCTCCAGAGGATCTCCAACCTGAGTCTACAGCTGGGGCAGGTAGCTGCTCTGTGGAAAGCATCCTGCATTGTGCCAGGACCAAAAACAGCTGATTCTACACCTCCTGAGGTATGAGGTCAGAGACAAACTTGATTCCCAGCAGTTTGCATACAAAGAACACATTGGAGTGAATGATGCTGTCCTCTACATGCTTCACTGTGCCCTGTCTCATCTGGAGGAACCCGGGGTTTATGTGAGGATCATGTTCTTCGAATTTTCAAGTGCATTCAATACCATCCAACCCACCATATTCAAAGACAAGCTCACAGAGACGGGAGTGGATCCTTCCTGTGTTTCCTGGATTACAGATTACCTGACAGCAAGGCCACAGTTTGTTAGGCTGGGGAACTGTGTTTCTGAGACATTAATGAGCAGTGCAGGGGCTCCACAAGGGACAGTCCTGGCTCCATTCCTGTTCACACTGCACACATCAGACTTCAAATACAGCACTGAGTGCTACCACATCCAGAAATACTCAGATGACACTGCTATCGCGGTAAGTTTTAGAAATGGACAAGAAGCTGAAACAGAGACCTGATAAGAGCCTTCAGTGACTGGAGTTACAAAAACTGCCTCCTCCTCAACACCTCGAAGACAAAGGAGATGATCATAGACTTCTGCAGATCCAAACCCCCTCTTCAGCCAGGGAACACAGTTTCTGTGTTTGACATCCTGTCTAGAACCATCTTCCTTGTGCAGAGTGATGCATGTTTGAAGCGTAGAGCAGCAAAAATAGATTTGTGGCATATCTTTAGCAGAGCAGCACTCAACACGCTTCTGAGACTGAGATCAGACTCTTCCTGTGTAATTTGCATCATTGATTAGAATGGGAACATATTTGCTACGTGACATGAGATGCTGATGGAACACGCTCAACACGGATCCTGTGTGTTTTAGGCTTGAGTGAGAT